AAACGCGAAGTTGCTGCAAGCGCCGGTTTGACAGGCAGCGCGGAAGCGGCAGGGGGTCAGCCGCATCTGGTATTAGAGCACCTGGCAAGTCGTAAACATTCATGTCTATAATCGTCTCACATCTAATCAGACACTATATACATAGGTCAAACATCAAGTCGCTGTACCGCCCGGTTATCCATATGTTCCTATTGCTCAGCATGTCCCTCCCGCGAAACCTGCGCGCGAATACAAGTTCACGCTCGACCCTTTCCAACAACTGTCTGTAAATGCTATACAGCGTAATGAAAGTGTGCTTGTTTCTGCCCATACCTCCGCTGGAAAGACCGTGGTCGCCGAGTATGCTATCGCTCAGGCTTTAGCAAATAAACAGCGTGTCATCTACACAAGTCCTATCAAGGTTCGTCAACTACGGACTGGAATGTAGTGCGGAGAGTTGAATGCCCATGATTGAAGGCCTTGAGTAACCAAAAATTCCGAGAGATGGAAGCCGAGTTCACGGACGTCGGTCTCATGACCGGAGATGTTACTAGGAATCCTAGTGCATCATGTCTGGTAATGACTACGGAGGTGTGTGTGTAATCTTATCCTCACTCGTGCTGCGCCATGGTCTCGAACGTCTATCCAGGTTCTCCTGCGACGACGACGAGCCGTGACTGCCGGCCGTCACACATCCTGCCGCTGCCGCTGATACCTGATTTGCCGTATAGATTCTTCGCTCAATGTTGTACCGTGGTTCCGAGATTATGCGCGAGGTCGCCTGGGTCATCTTCGACGAGATCCACTACATGCGCGACAAGGAGCGTGGAGTCGTATGGGAGGAGACTATCATCCTGCTACCGCACACTGTGCGATACGTCTTCCTCTCTGCAACCATACCCAACGCTATGCAATTCGCCGAGTGGATTTGCAAGAGTCATGAGCAGCCGTGTCACGTCGTCTACACCAACTTCCGACCAACGCCCCTGCAGCACTATCTCTTTCCTGCTGGCGGCGAGGGTATCTACCTTGTCGTCAATGAGAAGGGCGAGTTTCGCGAAGACAACTTCTCGAAGGCGATGGGCACCCTACAGTCTAGCGCTGGCGAAGACCCGGCGGACGCGAAGAGTGGTAAGGGACGGAAGGGCAAGAGCAGGAAAGGCGGCGACAAGTCGAAAGGTAGGCGGCGTGTATGTTCAGAGGAACGGATCGCTGATCAAATCCACAGGCGCGACGGACATCTCGAAGATCATCCGCATGATCATGCTCAAGAACTACAATCCGGTTATCGTCTTCGCCTTCAGCAAGCGAGACTGCGAGTCGCACGCTCTGAGTCTGTCCAAACTCGAATTCAACTCTGCAGATGAGCAGGCAACCGTGGAGAAGATCTTCTCCAGCGCCGTCGCCAGTCTTGCGCCAGACGACCGTGCATTGCCACAGATCGCCAACATCGTGCCTTTGCTCCGCCGTGGCATCGGCATCCATCACGGCGGCCTTCTTCCCATCCTCAAGGAGGTCATCGAGATTCTCTTCCAGGAAGGCTTGCTGAAGGTGTTATTCGCGACCGAGACGTTCTCCATCGGCCTCAACATGCCGGCAAAGACGGTCGTCTTCACCGCGGCACGCAAGTTCGATGGGCGCGAGTTCCGCGACCTTAGCTCTGGCGAGTACATCCAGATGAGCGGGCGCGCGGGTCGTCGTGGTCTTGATGACAGAGGTGTCGTCATCGTCATGGTAGACGAGAAGCTTGAACCGGCGAACGCAAAGACCATGATCAAAGGTCTGGCAGATCGACTCGACTCGGCATTCCATCTGGGCTACAACATGGTCCTGAATCTCATGAAGATCGAGACCATCAGTCCCGAGTACATGCTCGAGCGCTGCTTCTTCCAGTTCCAGAGCTCGGCTGGTATTCCGGTGTTGGAGGATGGTGAGTCGCTATCGCCTATCTTATCATGACAATGCTCAATATATACGCAGAGCTGAAGAAGGAAGAGGAGAGCCGAGCGGCCATCGTCGTGCCCGAAGAGGAACGCGTCTCGGAGTATTATGAGTTCAGGCAGCAGCTTGACACGCTCTCCGCGGACTTCCGCGAGGTTATTTCGCATCCAAACTACTCTTTGCCCTTCCTTCAGCCGGGCCGTCTGGTCAAGATCAAGTATAAGGATCTCGACTTTGGGTGGGGCGTCATCATTAACTACCAGAAGCGCCTTCCCCCGAAGGTTTGTCCCCCCATCTATCCTTCTTTGGATCAGAGCCTGACGTTTACCGACAGAACAGGCCAATGCCCAAGGCCGAAGAGCTACCGCCGCATGAACAATACATCGTCGACGTATTACTCAACTGCGCCACTGGAAGTGGATCTGCTCCGAAGGACCGCACCGGAGTTGTGACACCTACACCGGGCAACATCCAACCCGCCCCCGCCGGCGAGAAGGGCGAACCGCTTGTGGTCCCTGTGCTGCTGTCAACTCTCGACGGCATCAGCCACTTGCGCCTGCACATGCCGAAGGATCTTCGTGGAGCACCAGCGCGCGAGGGCTTGTGGAAGAGCGTGCTCGAGGTTCACCGCCGTTGTCCACAGGGTATCCCTCTGCTCGATCCTGTCGAGAACATGGGCATCACGGACGACAAGTTCAAAACGCTTGTGAAGGTTAGTACACACCCTTCCTTGCCTCGACGCCGTGCTTATACACCACGTAGAAAATTGAAGCTATGGAGCAGCGCATGTTCTCCTCGCCACTGCACAGTGATCCGCGCCTACCAGAGCTATATACGCTCTACGCACGCAAACGCGAAGCGCAGGAGCGCATTCGCGGACTCAAGCGCCGAATCGCAGCGACACACGACGTCCTGCAGATGGAGGAGCTCAAAGCGCGCAAACGTGTACTCCGGCGACTGGGCTTCACGACCGCAGACGACATCGTTGACGTCAAGGGTCGCGTAGCCTGCGAGATCAGCACCGGCGACGAGCTCCTTCTCACCGAACTCATCTTCAACGGCGCTTTCAATACGCTTGCCCCCGAGATGTGCGCTGGCCTGCTCAGCTGCTTCGTGTTTACGGAGAAGAGCGAGCAGCAGGTGAAGTTGAAGGAGGACCTCGCTGCGCCGTTGCGCGTCATGCAGGAACTTGCTAGGCAGATTGCGAAGGTCAGCCGGGAGAGCAAGTTGCCACTTAAAGAGGAGGAGTACGTGCAGAGCTTCAAGGTCGAGCTCATGGACGCCGTCGTGCAGTGGTGTCGCGGCGCGAGCTTCTCAGAGATCTGCAAGGTGGGTATCCGCACACGTCGTGATCCCCTTTCAAGACATTGATGTGGCGTCTTATAGCTCACAGATCAGTTTGAGGGCTCCCTCATTCGCGTCTTCCGTCGTCTTCAGGAGCTCATTCGCCAGATGGTCAGTGCTGCGAAGGTCATCGGTAACGCCGAGCTGCAGGAAAAGTTTGAGAAGGCGAGTGAAATGTTGGAACGGCCCAACTCAGTCATCTTTGCGAGCTCCCTTTACTTGTGAAGCCCTTGAGTACAACATGTATCCCTATTCGGTATCATCTACGGCATCCACGACAGGCGTTCGAGCATCACTCGCCTTGGGAGCAATTATGCGATATATAATGTCTCAAAGTTATTCCGAAGTAAGTCCCTGGTAGTATATCGGCTAGTACACCCGCCTGTCAAAAGACGGTGCGCGGGAGAGCGGGGTTCGACTCCCCGCCAGGGAGTACGGGTTTGCAATCTCCAGTCTCATTTTAGACTCCCGCCGCTCCGGGCCCCGGGGGCTTAGTAGATTCAAGACAAAGGACCAGATAAGGTTTGTAAAGTGGTAGCTATTGGTTTTGGGGATTCCACAATCATACTATATACATTCAAGACGACGAACGCGTTCAAAATGGCGTGGAATGTTGACCCGGTGACCTGAGAGAACAACTACGGATGGCGAAGCAGGCATGTGGAAGATGGAGAGGCAAAGAAGCGGGGGCATCCAGTAAACAAGGTATAGTGTGAGAGAGGTGCAATAGAAGGATTGCAGCCAGCATACGTGCTGCATAAGCGTGGCACAGATGACCAGACCAGACCAGTCGGAGGCGTCCGCTTAGATGTGCGTGTGTACGCCCGATGGACCCCGCTTCAGGCATGTTCACAAGATACAAGCATGCAATCCGCGGGTGTCTAGAGGTGAAGATACGATCTCGACTTTTTCTGAAAGGAAACAGCGAAGGTTTCAACGTTTCAACGCTAGGAAGACTCGATTGATCACGCATGCGTGCCCAAGTCACGCTCTCTTTGAGTAAGCCGGCTATAAACGTGCAGGAGTGGAGTCCGACAGTCCGAGACCTGCGCAGTTGGACGGCAATCGTGCGAGATCGCGACGGCGGACGACATAACGCAATCCCTGAGTAGGAACTAGAACGCAGCGTGTGCGCGATCCAGGCGGGTCGTCGGGTTCAACCGACTGAGTAGAATGAGCAAAAGGAGCTCGCAACGAAGATCGGATAGAAGCGAGACATGCATGCAGTGCGCATGACTGTGAGTAGAAGATGCTTGGAGGCGCTTGAGCGGTCAGATGATAGTGAACGGGGCGCAACGGGGTGCAGACAGGCGGAAGGAGCATACACCTGTACGCTGCGCATCCGAAGGCCATGACGAGCAGGAAAGACGCGCGTCGATCTACCGTGTCGTGTCATTCGAGCAAGAGTAGGTTAGGCATCGGCCGAGTGCGACGATGTGCAAGAGAACGAGCGCGGAGCCGGCAGAAGGCAAGCCCTGGGCCGGGCGGCTCAACGGAAGCATCAGCGCTGAGTTCGAAATTCAAACTCAGCGACGCTAGGTACCAAATCCCGCTCAGGGGTTTCCGAGTATCACTAAGCCTCGAATGGGGCGATATCGTCGACTGCAGTACAGTAGAATGTGTCTTGAGGCGTAGCGAACGCAATCTAGCGAGGGATTGAGCGCAGAGAACGAATACGCGGGCTCAGCAGCATCACCGCGGCGCGAGTACAGAAGCACCGCGCTAAACCCGGGAGGATGGTTCAGAGCCACACGCTGATCTGGATTATCAAGTCTAAACCGCCCGACGTCATGCGCACTCGCAGGCGGGCAGCGAATAGGACCCTTCACATAACTCCGTACCTCGGGCGCCCCGCAGATATAAGTAGAGCGCACTCCATTTCTCAGGCGATCCAACACCTCCTTGTATCCTATCATCCTCGATCACCATGCCCTCTCAGCAAGTCTTTGATAACAAGGACGGTGCTACCTACACCACCTCGAACGGCGCGCCCGTTCGCGAGCCCTATGCCGCACAGCGCGTAGGCTTCAACGGCCCGTTGCTGCTCCAGGGTGCGTTGTAATTGCTGGTCATCATCGCCCACGACTGACACTTCTGCTAGACTTCCACCATATCGATCTCCTCGCACACTTCGACCGCGAGCGCATTCCTGAGCGTGTCGTAAGTCCAGTGTCATAATCAGGATGCAGAGCTCGTCTCACATATTCCCCAGGTCCACGCGAAGGGCGCTGGCGCGCACGGCTACTTCGAGGTCACTCACGACATCTCCGACTTGACCTGCGCCAAGTTGTTCTCGAAGGTCGGCACCAAGGCGCGCACCACCGTCCGTTTCTCGACGGTCGGTGGCGAGTCCGGTTCAGCCGACACCGCGCGCGACCCTCGCGGGTTTGCGATCAAGATCCGCACGGAGGAGGGCAACCTCGACTGGGTGTTCAACAACACGCCCGTCTTCTTCATCCGCGACCCCGCGAAGTTCCCTCACTTCATCCACACCCAGAAGCGCGACCCTCAGACCCACCTTAAGGACGCTGATATGTTCTGGGTACGTTCACATTCCTCTGAAGAAGGCTGCTGTGATTGGCATTCTCGGCATGACGTCTGCGGTGGATGGATCGCGGTTCAAGACGAGTGGTGAATGCAGCTCGCGTCGCGCCACAACGTCGTTCCTGGCCATCACGGCATCTCCCGACGTCATCCTCTACTTTCGCGCTCCTTACCGATCCGCCGCTAACCATCATGTCAACTCTAGGACTACCTCTCGCAAAACCCGGAGTCGGTGCACCAGGTCATGATCCTCTTCTCTGACCGCGGAACGCCCGATGGCTACCACCAAATGCACGGCTACTCCGGCCACACGTTCAAGTTCGTGAACGAGCAAGGCGACTGGAACTACGTTCAGGTCCACGTTCGCGCAGACGGTGGCTTCAAGACGCTCGACAACGAGCAGGCTGGTGAGCTTGCTGGATCTAACCCCGACCACGGTACCCAGAAGCTTTTTGAGGCCATTGAGAGCGGTAACCCCCCGTCATGGACTGTCTACGTCGTAAGTTCGCCGCCTGTCCAGGTCGTCACGCCGTTGCTCACGATGCCTTCAGCAAACCATGACACCCCAGCAGGCCGAGCAATTCCGCTACAACGTTCTCGATCTCACCAAAGTTTGGCCGCACTCGGAGTTCCCGCTGCGCCCCGTCGGGAAGCTCGTCCTCAACGAAAACGTGCAGAACTACTTCGCCGAGATCGAGCAGGTCGCCTTCTCACCCTCGCACCTTGTCCCGGGTATCGAGCCCTCGGCCGACCCCGTGCTCCAGTCGCGCCTCTTCTCGTACCCTGACACGCACCGTCACCGTCTTGGCCCCAACTACCAGCAGTTGCCCGTCAACGCACCCATTGTGCCCATCGCCAACTTCCAGCGCGATGGCTTCATGGCCTTCAACAACCGTACGTGCAAGTTATTTGTCAGTACTCGTACATCTTCTGATGTCTTTTACAGAGGGTCCGCGCCCTAACTACCAGAGCTCGATCGCGCCGCTGTCGTACAAGGGTAAGACATACGACGACAAGGAGATCAAGCACGAGACGTTCGTCGGCCTCGCTCGTGCAGAGCTGAGCACCATCACCGAGCTCGACTTCGAGCAGCCGCGCGCGCTCTACCACAAGGCGATGGACCAGACGGCGCGCGAGCACCTCGTCCACAACCTCGCGGTGCACATGAAGGCCATCCGGGACCCCAAGGTCACGGCGCGTCAGCTCAGCGTCTTCGCTGCCGTCGACCAGGGCTTCTCCGATGCGCTCGCCAAGCAGCTCGGCGTGAACACCGTTAAGCCTCTCCAGCCGGCGCCCGCGGATGCTTTCCGTCAGGTGAAGCACAACATCGGTCTCGCGTCGCAAGGCCAGACGTAAAGGCTTGCGTGTGGTGCGATGCGTTTCAACGAGCCGTGTAGGATATAAACGTTCTGTAGTTTGATCATGTTGTACCATTATCCAATCATCCATCATTTTTTGCTATCCGCCAGTGCGAATTCAACTATATTCTGAATTTAGCCACAAACACACGTGATCGCGTTTATGCAGTTGGGCCGCTGTCATCTGTGATCCGTCACGCAACGGCTTCCCTTCGTGCGGCCATCTCGCCTTGCTCTCGAGAGGTCATCTCCCTTATGTATCAGGAATATGCTAGCTCGGATAGACTCTTGAATAATGCCGACCTGGATGAATCTACTTCTTCTGCTCTGGACGTCGACGAAGGTGCTCAGTGGGGACGTAATGGCCGAACAGCCTCAACAGGTCCTCCAGACCCGATAGGCGCATGGTTGAGGTCGAGAGTACAAATGGTGCTCGTTCGCGTGCCAATAGTACTGGCACTCAGGGATAAGGCACAGGCGATATTGTCTGCTGCAGCCAGTTCCCCTACAGGGCTACCAGGTACCGCATCAATCTGTTCATGAAGTAGGATGTACGTCTGACCCAACAAATACAGAGTTGAACCCTGCGCTTCCCTCGCTGCAAACATTGTTTATACGCAAAACCCGCGTCTTTGCTTCACATACGCTCTTCATACTACTCGTCCCAATCTACATTCTTGCAATTGCACTACTCGCAAGGGGACAATCGTTCATTGTACCGAAGGAGAACCAATTGGATTGCTTGAGCACTTTCTGGCCTGCCCCGTACGATAGGTGTGGGGTAGACGGACAAGATTGTGGGCCGTTCAACGACACCACCTTCTCATACCGATGTCCGGCGGACTGTGCCAGCGTATACCTGCACAATACACGCATCATTGGCGACCAGGATGTTGCGTACCAACCCCTTGTAGTTGGAGGTGGCGACGCAGAAGGCACTTACCGTGGGGATAGCTGGATATGTGCGTCGGCCATGCACGCGTGAGTGCGATTAGGGCGCTCTTGTACGCCATATCAAGATGCACATGAACTCAAAGCGCGCCACAGAGGTCTAGTGAGCGATAGCTGGGGTGGATGTGTGTCTGTGAGCCTTGTCGGCGCTTTCGCAGACTATCTACCCTCATTCCGGCATGGCGTGGATGGCGTCGGGTTCGCCTCGTCTTTCCCACTATCCTTCCGACTGGGCAAGAATACCTCTTTGCCTCAGTGCACAGATCTGCGATCTATCGCATTGTCATTCAACGCTATCGTAACCTTTGCCGTCTTCGCCATATTGAGGCCCAAACCCCAAGCGCTCTACTGGTCCCTGATCTGCATTGGGTTCTGGCACGTCAGCCTTTTCTCCCAGCCGCGCAGCTCTCCACCGGATCTCGAATTTGCATTCGCAACGTTCCTTCCAGCGCTCTTCGTCTGCCATGCGTTCTGGCACTATACTGCAAAATGGGTCCTTCCGGAACTGCTACAACGCATACCGCTTGAAGGAGCTGTGCTATACCTTGGCCCCTGGTGGATCACAGTGCTCAACAACATGACCCTCGACCGGTTACCCGTTGATCGACTCATGATCGGGGATATCACTCGTCGAGCGGGTGGTCTTGTCACTTTGGTGGCCGGTATCGCCGTACTTGCTTTTGCGATCTTGAAGCAGGTCATGGTCATCAGGAGTGCAGGGCACCTTCCACAGTACCTGAAAGGATACGGGATTGGCGCAGGGGTTGTCCTCGCTCTCGCATTGTTACCGACGCTCAACCTGCGCGTTCATCACTACATCTTCGCCATCATGTTCATTCCCGGGACTGCCTTTCCGACTCGACTGTCGGCCGTCTTTCAAGGTTTTCTCCTTGGGATGTTTCTGAACGGAGTGGCTGCATGGGGATTCGACGGGATTCTGCAGACGACTGTCAATGTGGGTTACCCGGCCTTGCCCTTCTGCTCCTTCCTCAAGCTCACGCTTCCCTAGCTACGCCGGGATGCACCAACTGGGACACCACTTCCCAAGCTGGAAGGTGTCTACGATGCGGCTTTACCATGGGCCGACAGGGTTGTACAATGGGCTTCGATCCCGGAAAATGCCGCGGCGGACGGCTTCAAACTGTTGGTCGACGATGTTGAGCGCTACACCGGTCCGGCGCTCAACTACTCGCTGAGGCTTCTGAGAGACGACATACCCCACTATTTCCGACTGGCAGTGAGTGCCCACCCTATCATTGCGGACTGAATGGCTGAACGCATGGACAGTATACGCTTCGTGGGGATAGGATCGGGGATTGGACGATGCCTGCGACACTATGGCCGAATGGAAGTTGGATAGAGCCTGCACCGGGAGCATCTTATTAGATACAGCGATTATGCGCTCTGTATTAGTAGGGTACTTGGACTGTTCCTGCTCTGAAAGCACTTTGTAGGATGATGTGTGTTACGAAGTCACTGTCAAACCCTTATCGAACTTCATGGGCGCTTGCGTTGAGAGCAAGTTTATGGGCGTCTAAGCAGAACACGCCCACGTGCAGGCTCGAGTCGCGACACGGCCGTGGCGCAAGAACCGCCAACTTATTGCACTTGCCTCTAACGCCCATGTCTCATCAGATCCATCTCCGAACCTGATCTGACTGTATACGCATCATGCTTGATATACTGCCCGCTGAAACTGTACTGCTCATCCTATCATTTGCTCCGTTATCGGCTCTGGTGAATCTCGAAGTCGTCTCGAAAGACTGGGCCGCGTTCTACAAGGAGCACCATGTACAGATCTATCGAAATGCAGCTGTCCTTCATGGCATAGCCCCTTCTCGCGATGCTAGCCTGAATGAAGCTTTGGAAGGGCTTGGTGGAGATATATGGGCCAACGAGCCTGTGGAGGATTGGAAGGAGCTATGTACGTCTTATGATTGGACACCCTGCAAATATACATTAACTGGGCACAGGTCGTCGCCACATACAGTTGGAGAATGTGCGCTACTTGATACTTTTATGACTGTCATCGTTTCTAACATCGAGATAGAACTGGCAAGCTAAACAGAAGTCGCGGTCTATCGCGCGCATCATCGGGTCCGCTGGCGATACGGTGCATCGCATCCAAGTAGACGAGAAGGAGGGCATCTGCATCACCACAGGTACCACCGGCGGACTCAGGGTGTCTGCTATTGGCTCTACGGCGAAGAGATCTTCACCCCTGTGGGCACTACCGAGTGTGCGTACAATGTGTTCTGAATGCTATGACCCGCAAAGCTGAGCGCTTCTCCACCAGCAATACGTCCGCCGGTATGCACACGTCGAGTACGAAGCTGGTTATCTCATCTTCGACCGGTTCAGCGGGGACAAGGAAGTATGGCGACTGAGAAGCACCATGCCATTCGATGGCTCCGACTACGCCATTCATGTACCCCCAGATGAAGTCATGCTGCGGGTCGCGGACTTTGTCACGCATACGCAGGGAATGCGAGGGCGTGGAGAGTTTGCGCCGTGGGCATTGTTGACCATGCCCGAACTGACGCTCGCATACCACTATGTCCACCCAACGCTTGCGGTAGCAGGAAGTTCGCGCGTCTTCCTCACCGAAATGCCGACGGGTGCTCAACGCGAGCTCCCCATCATTCAGGACAATATTCACTACATAGAGCTGAATGATCGCTATGTCGTTGTTTGTGCCCCAACGGTCGTTCGAATATATGCGCGCGACGGTGAACAGGCAGGTTCTGGCGTGCCCGTTCTGGAGATACCTGCGGCGACCGCGGGGTCGAGAGTCGCAAACGTGCAGCTTTCTCACGCTCCGATGGACGAGATGAGCGAAAGTAAACTGCTTTCGCGAGTGGCGCTACGGGACTGTGATACAGGTTCTCTCAATGACCCTGAGAAATGGGGAGGATGGGCTCGTGCAGACCGCCAGAGCATCATCGCAACGCACCTCTCAACGGACGGTCGCCATATAATCATTCTCAACCAACGCGAGCGAGTGATATTCGTGCAAGACTGGGAGCGTATTCTCCGCGGCGAGGCCACTCTGAAGAAGTGCACGCTTGTTGTTCGCAGTAACGATGCGGCGAACTACTACCTGGCCGTCGCGGATAATCGATGTGCAGTAGCTTCGGTATGTCTTGTCTCTCCATAAGACGCTTACTGCTGACACGGAATTGCAGAGCACCGGTCTCTGGGTGTACACCTTCGACGTTACAGATCGCTTGCAGAGCGCGCCCCCTCGCCGCATGGGTAAAGTCGAACCCGGACCTCTTGCGCCCTTCCTTAACATGGGCGTTTCTGCGACCCACCCGTGGCGAAGAGACGACGATGAAGACGAAGAGGATGACGATGACCCCGAAGGGGCTCTTCCGCGCGTCAGCTGCCTACAGCTTACAGACCGACGTATCTTCTTCTCCTGGGATACGGCAAGTCACAGTGTGCCTCTATACTCGGGGCCGCCGTTCCCACCGGGTATAGGTCGCGGGGGTGCAAGAGTCAGCGAGCCGGGGTCGTTTTCCTCAGCTTCAATTCAGGACATGGATGATGGTCAAGACGATCCTGGCCCGCCCGGCATCGACGACGGAGTTGCGGAAATGGCCCTGATTCCATGGGGTCCGCATGCCGAGTTGGGGTGCATTGACTTATCTCTTATTCCCAAGCCCAAGTATGTGCATATGCCTCCGCATATACGCGCGATGATGGGGGGAAGACGCGGATGATGATGTATTCTTGCTAGAGAACTACGGAAATGTGAGCTTGTAACATACACTGTATACTATCAATCTTCTTTTGAGGACCTGTAAGAGTGAAGGTTGTGCCGCTGTACTGAAAAGTCTACGGCCTCGACAGTATCGTTGAGTAGGCGCCATTGCGGGCCGCGCCGCGGCGCCGCTTGTGAGCCTCCCGGCGTTCCCCCCGGCCGCACGGCGCGGTGTCTCGTGCACGCGTTCTCTTCCAACGCTGATCATAATGCTTTCATGATATTCTGGGCCGGTGCTATCGACGCTCGTGAACTCGCTTCGAAAAGGATAAAGGCCATATACGGACCATTTTGGGGTGCTCAAAGCGTCGGCCCTCGGAGTGTACATCCGTGACGTCGACCGGCCTCAGTCTTCGAATGGACGTCGGCGCGCGCTATTCGACTGTACACAAGAAGACATCGCCACCCTGCCTTTGCTCTCTAACACCGTAGAGGAGTCTGTTTAGGCCAATTGACCTGCAGTCTTCTCCATTGTTGAGGGCAGTGGGGGGCGATAGTCCGCGGTCTGGCGCGGATGCCATTTTCACCTGACTTTCTCGCTTCGGCGAAGTTTGCAAGCGCAGCCGTTTGAAGGGCGCCCGTGACCAGCCGACATTGACTTCATGATGTTATCAAGTGGATGGGCGCGAAGAAATATGCTCGCATCTTGCTAGGGAACTTTGACGGAAGATGACGGCGTTGTTAGCGAACAAAGGTGGCGGCGCCAGCTCCGACGCGCTTGGCGGCAATTGCGGCCGCGGGCCACAGCTTTTGGCGCACTCGCTGGCTTTCGATGGGGCTTGCTGTATTCCGTTTTGGTGCCCCTGCTACGGCAGAAGCTACAAAAATAACCAAACGTGGTGGCCACGCTGCGGGTGGAGTTACACGTGCGGGAGTATAAGACTCGGAGTGCAACAGGAGATGAACGAGGAGGTTGATGAACTGAACCGCCACGATATTCGTCGATCACAGCGAAACGGCCCAGTCCCGGACAACCCGTCACGCTATAAAGTCCAATCTGCCACATATTCGATCCTCAGTGGCTCGCGCCCGTTTCTCTTCCCCCACATTTTGTTATCCGTTCGTCATGTCCAAGCGTCTAATTTCGTCCGCTCTTTGTCTCCTCCCCCTATTTGCGCGCATTGTACGCGCCGAACCCGCGATGGACCTATCTGTCAATGCTGCGTCGTTCAACCCCTCATTTCCCTATGGTAGCGAGAAGGTTCGCGGTGTCAATCTTGGTGGTTGGCTCGTTCTCGAGGTGCGTTTCCCAATCATTGCGCCGGACGCATATCACTGAGGAACATCCAGCCATGGATCACCCCTAGCTTATTCGACGATACCGGCAATGATGCTATTGTCGACGAATGGACGTTCTGCCAGTACCAGTCCAACTCTGTAGCCAAGTCCAAGCTGCAGTCACACTGGGATAGCTGGATCACCGAGCAAGACTTCTCCGACATCGCCGCGGCTGGGTGCGTTTCCGCTCCATCTTCCATTTTCTGTGCGCGCTGATCTTACATATCAGTCTCAATCACGTCCGTCTTCCCATCGGTTATTGGGCTTGGGACGTGCAAGGCGACGAGCCGTACGTCCAAGGCCAGCTTCCCTATCTCCGCAAGGCCATCGGGTGGGCGAAGAATCACAACCTCAAGGTCATCATCGACCTACACGGTGCACCGGGATCTCAGAACGGGTGCGTACAAGCTTTCGGGTCGTGATTCGAGACTTGCCTTCTCCGCTGCGCAATTTGGAGCGCGTATCTTCGCAACGCTTCCGAGGGAGTGCATGACGCACACAACTTATCACTGCTCCGTCGACTTCAGTGGCCGCTGCCGTGGCTCATGACGATACTCATGAACACCCACCCTCTATGCAATCGATGATCGCTGCGAGTCCCGGTCGCGCCGTCTCGCCTACGTTCTCGAGCGACGCCGTAGCTAACCGTGGCCGCACAGTTACGACAACTCGGGCCACCGTCTCACGGACACCACCGGCCCAACTTGGCAAACATCGCAGAATAATGTTGATCGCACGAATGCTGTTCTCAAGAAGATTGCCGCCGAATTTGGCAGCCAGTCCGAAACGGCACCCATCATCGCGCCGTTGAATGAGTAAGTCCATCGCACCTCAGTCAACCATCTGCGAAACTGACCTTGCGTGACAGGCCAGCCGGATACTACAGCACGCAGCTTCTTGACACGACCAAGCAATACTGGAAGGACTCGTACGGTAACATTCGGTGCGCGATGGTGCTGATTGTCCCGTGATCGCGTTTCACTAACAGCGATAATTCTCCGTCCTTACAGTGAACAATCAAGCAACACCGTAGAGCTCATCCACGATGCCTTCATGAACGTCTCGTACTGGGCGGACTTCATGCCAAAGCCCGCATTCCAGGGCGTTGCGATCGACACGCATATTTATCAGGTGTTCTCGGACGCTGAGAACGCACGCTCGCAGCAGCAGCACATCGACAACGCTTGCCAGAACGGCCCGAAGCTCGCGGATTTCAACAACAATCAGCTTTGGACGATTGTTGGCGAGTGGACGCCGGCTATGACGGACTGCGCTAAGTATCTGAACGGCCGCGGCGTCGGTGCGCGCTATGATGGTAGCTTTGAGGGTTCGGCCGGCGTCGGCAGTTGCAAGGACAGGACCGGCAGCATCTCGGACTTGTCCAGCTCATACAAGACCTTCCTGCGCAAGATGTTCGAGGCTCAGGTATGCGTGTCCCTTACATCAACTGCACCTGGCCTCGTTCTAACGATCCTTCAAGACGAGCGCCTTCGAGCAGGGAAGCGGATGGGTGATGTGGACCTGGAAAGCAGAGGATGTGAGTGCTCTTGTTTTACGCTTTCAATTATAGCCTAAGCCCCCTTTAGGCTGCGGACTGGACTTACCAGGACGGTCTCGATGGTGGTTGGATTCCGCAAGACCCCACCGACCGCAAGTACCCGAACATCTGTGGCTAGATAACTATATTCTCCCTCTCCACCATGGACATCGGATACATCTCTTGCATGATCTACGTACAGTCCCTGGACGATGCACCCACGAACTTGTTCTCGTTCCCGCTCCCATCATACCCCATCACGGACTGGCACATAGTACACACATCCACTCTATGAGGACCTCTACCCGTCGTCTTCCGTCATTCTTTCATCGTACTGTCCGAACGCCATCATAATACTATTTGCTTTCGATACACTACCAAGAGTATTCCATGCGCCCGTCACTGAGCAAAGATGCATTCGACACTTTGATCTAGATGCCAGCGGCGCGAGAAAACAGAACGCAGTGAAAGGGGAAAATGAAATAAAACACGGCGAGCTTGAGGACTCCCTGGCGGGGAGTCGAACCCCGCTCTCCCGCGCACCGTTCTTTTGACAGGCGGGTGTACTAGCCGATATACTACCAGGGATTATTCGGGTTTTATAATGCTTATCCTCATTGATCCAGCACTTTGGCCGGGTGGGACCGGTTCCACGGGGTTGGGATCTGGGTGCGTGCTGACACCTACATCTTGAACTCTGACTAGCTCGGAGGGTCTTCATATTGACGAACCCAAGAAATCGTATGCACCGATTCTGACGACTCCTACTGAACGTCGGCCACACTCGACAGGCTCATATCGAGTGCTTGAGACTGTGATCATGTACGTCGTCCTCGTGCGTCGTGCCACACCATCAATCCAGCAAGTCAGCCGCTCACATGTGCTCAGGCAACGACATAATCGATCAAGTTTTGATACCCAACCCCAATGGACTCACTCTGGTCACGCCAAGCAATCTGGCTCACTGTATACCCTGAGGCAGCCGACGAGAAGAGTGAAACGTGTGACAGCTCTACTTATCCTCTGGGGTTATGCCCAATGTGTTTAATGAGGGTGTTCAAGTGAAAGGTGAAACCGGCCCTACGTCTTTCCAACATCCGGGTTGATCAACGTCCGCTGTTGTTTACTCTGCGCCACTTGAGTCGCCGGCGCATTCAATGGTCGGGTCAGCGCATGCTCTGCCGACATCCATCACCGCCTCGTCCGTTAAAGCCGTCCTTTCGGCGCCGTCCTCGAGGAATGCTTCACGTACTTGCTCTCTCAACTCTTGGCCGTGATGCTTTTGTGTATTTGACCGGCCTCAAATGGCCTAAGCCAAGCGACGGCCCGCCGTGCTCCAGCCTGGGAGTCGACCCGGGAGTGCATGGGGTTCACAACAATCCAGACGATACGTTCGTACTCGACAGGAACTCGACCTGATGTTACGGTTCGAGCCTGAATAGCCCTGAACTCGTGCTTGTGCCCCACTGTAAGATGCGGGACCAAAGTATTCAGCGTCGCGCGTGGTGCTCCCGGGGGATCACGATCTACAACGGCACTACTCCTGCCTGGCCTATCATGCTCCGGCTATATAACCTACAGAGCTACCCAACTCAGGAGAACAGCACCAGGTCTCTTTGCTGACACAACCCCTACATCGACATGTTCAAATCTGCTATTCTTGCTCTTGCCCTCACAGCGGGTTCGGCCTCGGCCATCACCCTGAAGTTCGTCAACCATGTACGTCTATGGTTATGTGTATACACTTGAGTGCTACTGAATATGTTCTCTAGTGCTCTTACAGTACGTTTGCGTCGTTGACCCTAGCATTACTCGTCACTAATTTCTTGTCATTCTCCGATCAGCCGTTTGGCCTGCTGTTGGTATGTTCTTTCATGTTTATGACACAACGCTGTCGCCTAACATCCTTACAGGTCACGCGCCATACGGCTCTCCTAATACCGATATTGCTTGGGGAACCAAGTTGACGGCTGGTGCTTCAGCCAGCTTCGGTGTCGCCGACTCTGCGATTGTATGTACACGCCTTACCTCGATACAGGCCGCCCGTGCGGCAGCATGTATGAGACAGCGCGTATAGCTCTCCGGACTGACATACCTTTCTTCATAGGGTATCCGCTCTTGGGGCCGTACGGGCTGTGACGCCAACGGGGCGAACTGCGCTACTGGCCGTTGCAACGGCGGTAAGCTTGTCTGACGCCACATGTCGCGCTCATTCTGACGAGGCAACAGGTCTCACCTGCACTGATGCGGGTATCACCAGTGGTGTTATCCTCGGCGAATACGGTGCGTGTTCTGTTGCGCCCCTGGTGCCCGAGATCTTTGCTGACATCCCGTAGGCTTCGGTGACTTCGGACAGTACGGCGGCCAGCGCACCTCGGTGAGCATCATCATTCCTTATGGTCAACCGCAACTCAGCAGCTTATCTTGATGATACAGTGGGACTTGAGCATCGTGTCCGCATCGCTCAACATCCCGACGCGTCTCTCCGTGTCTGACGGCCAGAGCGTCCAATGCCTCGGCACGCCCTGCGACGCAAGCCAGGTCTACACCTACACCGACGACTACGCTGCAGACCGCAACTCTGCGCTCGGCCAGACGTACACCACCACTTTCTGCCCTTGAGCGAAGTGAACCAACGCCGAAGACCGTCGGTCACGAACGAAAACCTCGATCTTGCAACTTAATCTGGATGTATGACTATTTCCTTTGGGTTTTTGGTCTTGTATCTTGGTGGTACGAATGAAAGCAATCTTAATATGCCTCTTGAACCTGTGCGGGAGATGTCTCAGACAACATGCGTACGCCCTGTGTACGCGTTCCTCATGTGACCGCGTTGATAGAACTTCCCACATCAAAACTCGGCCATAGCCGTTCGCTCTCTCCTGTTTCGGCTTCCCTTCCTCTCCCATGAGTCCCACCATGTACCATCGAAAGCATCACGATACGCCGCGCGAAGCAAGTTCAAGGACAAGTGCTAGCGTTCCGCGCCGTTCAGCCAAGGCTCGACGAGGGTTTCGTGTGCCACCTACTATGAGCCTGATCAGCGCCGAAAAGGGTTCCGACCCCATACCGCCCGCTAGTCCTACTATTGGGACAGTAGAATACGTTTGAGACGTGGTCTTTTGACCCATTGTCGGCTTTGAGGAGGCACGTCGGAGTATAATAGCTGAAAACAGCCCGCCTAGAGGTTTAAACTTGTCAACTTCGAGTTGCGAGGGTGGTTCGTGTAGCCGAAAACTCATGGCGCCTTTCTCGTCAACGGCCATTTCGGACTTACGACTCTGGTGCTTATGCACCGAGCGTCAACATCCGCCATCTCAACACCGTCAACACCGTACCCCGTCGCTCTCAGCCGGTCAACCCTGATGCCGTCGGAGGTCTTCAGACATTCAGAACTTCACTCTGATGGTACTGCGTTTTGGTGCTTTGACGGCTTAACATGGCCTGCGTCGCATGTGGACATCCGAGCTTGCGGCAATCTAGGCGGTGCAGTGCGCTTGCTTAGGGGCGCTGGACCAGGTCTTTCGAATCAAACCAGCGCCCATACTTGTGCTTCATCGCGCGAGGCAATACTTTCTGCAATTGCCGTCTCGCATGGGCGGGCCGACGATCGCCTTTTGATGCGGCTCTCCTTTGACCCTGCCCGTTGGTCTGTCAGTATATAAGCTGGGCTGATGTGCTCGAAACTGACACCAGCTACTCTCAGCTCTTCACTTGATCTACAAGATGTTCAAAGCTACCTTCCTCGCTCTGGCCCTCGCTGCCGGTTCCGCCTCGGCAATGACCTTGAGCTTCGTTAACCACGTTCGTACACTTTCACGTTGCTATCATTGAACTAGCCTGACCGTATCTCCGCGACAGTGCTCTTACAGTACGCCCACATCGCCATGTAGGATGATTGATGGATGCTCACAGATAGCGAAGCCGTTTGGCCTGCTGTTGGACATGCTCCGAATGGCCAAGTCATGACAGATATTGCCTGGGGAGCCAGGCTCAACCCTGGAGCTTCGGCTAGCTTCGGCGTAGCAGACACAGCCATTGTACGTCTCAAAAGAACCCCAGGTACCCAGTGCTGATATTTGATATGCGTAGGGTGTCCGCTCTTGGGGACGTACGGGCTGCGATGCTAACGGCGCGAACTGTGCGACTGGTCGCTGCAACGGAGGTGAGTGGTTTAGCCTGCATCTTGTAGTCAAAGCTTGACCTCTCGATGGTAGGACTGACCTGCACCGACGCGGGTATTACTGCGGCTGTACTCTACGGCGAGTACGGTAAGTCCTAACTGCCTATAACCCCGCTTTACATCTTGATAACGTTCTGTACAGGCTGGGGCGACTTTGGCTCGTGCTGTGGCGGTGTGAGGACTGCGGTGCGCTCATCTTCCTCTCACATGCGTGGTAGATTTGACTGAACTGCATGCTACAGTGGGATCTTAGTCTCGTTGGTGGCTCGCTCAACATCCCCACGCGCCTCACCGCGTCCGACGGGCAGAGTGTCCAGTGCTTGGGCGCGCCCTGCGACTCCAACCAGGTGTACACTTACACCGGAGACAATGCGGCGGACCGTAACTCCAACCTTGGTCTGACCTACACGACCACATTCTGCCCTTGAGCGGACGGTATGAGGGAACAGGACATTGCAGGTTCTTGATGTTACGAAGGGATCCGAAGTATATGACTAGTTCTTTTGGGTACATTGGTTCTCGGATACGCAAATACGAATGGAAATTGACTTGAGGCTCTCTCTGAAGCTGGAGAAAGGACTATCAAGTCCCAGCATACGCCCGATGACTGCGCGGTTCGAACGGGAAGCTCGACCCGGCCGCGCGTCGGGCGCGTTTTCCATGTGACCGCGTCGCCTTCCCACGCAGTATAAACCTCATCTAGTGTAGCGGGCAGAACCTCCCGGGCCGATTTCCGCCCGGCCGAATGGCAAAACTGGCAGGCGGCCGAGTGGCGGAAGGTGGCGGAAGGTGGCAGGGTAAAGAATTCGAAAAATAATCCTATACGATGTACTATAGTTATCTAGAGCCCTGCACAACATCATCTATATCCCACTCTTCGTCGCTATCAGCAGCACCACCAATTTCAGCCTCTTCTTCGTATGGGTTGAGCACTTCGCCTCGCTTGACAGCATCGAGCAGCGAAAAATCGAACATCTCGCCCTTGAGAACATCACGGTTCGTAATGTCGACCTTATCAACACCCTCCTCGGCGAGGCGAACGGTCAGCTTCGCAAATCCTTTCTCAAGTTCGCCCATTGCGTAGTCCACTTCTTCGTCACCCTTCTCGTCTCCACCATCTACCACGACTTGCTCGACTGGCGTGAACTGCTCATCAAGTTTACGAACGAGCTCGTCATTGATGCCGGGGGTCTCGCGCGTGTGCATGTGCGCGTGTTTGCGATGAGCTGATTTGCCGTTCTTGCGATCTTGTTCCCAGAGCTGGCGAGAGTAGTGCGAACGGCAACGGCCGAGTCCCTCAAAGTTCTCGACGGTCAGATTGCATCGCTTCGGTGTCTGCACACCACCAAGCTGCGAAAAGAGCCGCTCGATCTCGGCCGAATGTGGCACGATAGAATGGAGCATCTCGGCGAGGACCCTGAGTGGGTGTTCGGACCGTATAAGTGGGCGACTTGTCCACCAGGTATATGCGTCGGTCTGGCCACCTGCAAAAACACCACGACAGGCCTGATATTCCTCCATGTCCGCGATAAGGGCCTTCGCAACAGCTCTGCCCTTCTTGAACCGCCACTTCTGAACGATCCCGAGTGCAGTTTTGAGCATGAGGTCGTACGAGAAGCCCCCACCAGTCGCTTTGCTGAGGGCAAGTGCACGGCACATCGGGTGAAGATAAAGGGCGAGGGCGTGGATGGGCGTAATCATGAAGGCGAAGCGGCGCGAGAATACTGTCTGTGCGTGTTCGAGAAGAGCAGGGTCGTCACCAGGCTCTGCGACCATCTTGGAGACTGTACGAGCACAGAAGATGAGCTCAAGCGCACACTCAGCAAGAGTACAGCTGCGAGCTTCGAGATTGCCGATAACATCGACTATCGGCTTGGTGATCCTCAGAAGCTGCTCGTTCAGGGGCCAGAACGACTCGTCGCGAAGAACGGCATTGACAACAGCCTTTTTGACAACAGAGAGGCCATTCGTAGACCTTTGAGCGTCACCTCGAGCACACAGAGTGGTCATTGCCTGTCTACGGAAATGTCAATAGAATATATGGAATGATTATAAAAGTCACAAACCGAAGGGCGATGACACTCTGACTCTGAAGCGAGACTGCATACCATCGCGTATCCACGTTCTGGCGAAGATGTCGAGCTCCGAGCTTGAGGTCTTCAGCTGTCTTCATAAGTTGACCACCCCAGAAGTGCGAGCCATTGAAGAACGAGACAATGGTGGTGTTCTTGGACACGATAGCCTTAGCCGGAGCGAAGCTGACAATCTCGCCAATGATGCTGTTGGTCTGGTGGAGGAAGCAAGCAAAGGTCTAGATGATCAGGTAAGTAAGTGCAAATACAAATACATAAAATGGAACAAGTCTTACTAAAAGCCAGCTATAGTTAGCATCACTGCTTGCAAGACGACGAAAAGCTTGCATCGTCGTCGGATTGTCAGTCGTGACAGCAATGAAGTTCTCGCCACTCTCTTGATCCATATGTGCAAGGGCCCTCTTCATGACATCGAGCAGACCCGACGCAGTCGCACGACCACCCGTAAGGTCCTCGAGACTGAGGAGAGTTGGAAACTCCCCAACACGTGCAGCAAGAGAGCCGTACAAGCTACGCCTGAGCGCATCTTCCCATCCATCAATCAAGAATGTGAGGAACTTCTCGTTGCGAAGACGCTCGCGATCCGAGAGGAAGATGTTCGCAAGCTCTGTATCAAAGATACTATGCGAGAGGACGTAACGGGTGGGCGACTCGTACATCGGACGGATGAACGCAAGGAACTCGATGAAGTAGTGGTTGTCGACGGCTGTGAAGGGGATGTTCGCAGAGACAACAAAGCTATAGGGCAATGTCAATAAGCAAGTGGGTGGCTATAGTGATGGGGAACCTTACCGGAACAGCCTGAGGTTCGCCTCATGAATTTGCTCATCTGTAAGGGGGTAGTCAATCCACCCGTCGAGCGTCATCGAGCCGCGAGCACGCTTCTTCGAAGCCCGGACAGCTACGACATTCTCGCCCTGACCACCGACTGTGACCACCGCACCCTCGCCTGTATCGGATAGATGCTGTTGTAGCTAGGAATACATTAGTATATATCAGATAGTGAACCGATGAGCGAGTCTCAGTCTGCATACCTGTGCGTTCACGATTCCACCAGCTACTGGTTCTGCAGACCCCGATTCCGGAGGTATAACCCCGAACACAGTCTTCCCCTTCTTGTGCGAAGCAGAGCCAAGATGACGTAGGGCAGCAGTCTTCTGAGAAGGCGTGGCATCAGCACAGTTGTGTGCAAGATGCTTGAGAAGTTTGTTGTCGCGATGTTCGATGATGGCCGAACACGTCTTGCACTCGTAGAAGTAGCGCCCAGATTTGTCCTGCTTCTTCTCGCCACGTTTAAAGTTGTCGCTAATGACATGTGCAACAGGTCGGCCACCAGGGTCCATAGCTAGTGATGTACTGAAGTTGAGAGCACAGGAAAGCGATAATGGAGGACGCGAGCGAAGAGCTCATGCGAAAAGACGCGGCGCGGGCGGCCTCGGCAATGGCCGAGACGAGAGCAAGACGCGCGTTCGCCTGCGTTCGCTCGAGGCACAACCCCTGCGTTCGTAGGCCACATACTGCCTCGTAGCACCTATTTCTTTCAACAGAACTAATAGGTACACTTTCTATGCTACTCTCTAATTTTTTCGTAGGTCTGCCACCCTTCCGCCATGCCCTGGCGGGTTCCGCCACCTTCCGCCGCGGCACGGCAGCTGCCGTCGGCGGAACGGCAAGGCTCTGCCAACAACATTAACCTCATCATGCGTTCGCTCAGTGAGTCACTCAGTGTGCACCTCTACTCCTGCCATCACGAATGCATGCACCACACGATGATTGACCGAGACGTACTCGTTGACCATGTACTGAGCAAGGACTCCCAACTGAGAAACATTCTGCGGCGTGCTCTCGCTATGCCGCTGTGGACCGGGCTCCAGTCCAGTCTGCCAATCGTCCTGACTACCGGGCGAGACATCTAGCTACTAACATAACTTCCTTAAGAGTCCGCGTGATATTGCTACAGAGAGTCCACTGACCTTTACAGACACGTTTGCCATGGACAACGTTATCAATATAGTTCCGCAGCCCCAAACACCACCTCATCTGAGGAAACCCAGCCGCTACGAGCCTACCCCCGGTATGCATCACACGCACTTGTGTTCGTATTTGGGACTAATTTATTACATCGTGCAGATAAACCTGCTCACTCGAGTGGCTCCTCGCGTCTTCCATTCGGTAACGTCGCCAACAGTCAACGTCCGACGGTCCCTTTCGGCATCAGCAAAGACCCCCAGAGTGACGCTCTCGCAAGACTATTCAAGCTCTTCAACTACGATGGTCCCTCGAACGCCTTTTCGATACCAGGCCAGGTCAAGTCACGCAAGTCTTCTCCCAAACCTATCCTACGCTCCCCAGGCAACCCCCCCGTCAAATGCCCTGAAGACTTCCAAGCCCGCATCCTCGCCACCCGCGCCCGGCTCGCACGTAAATTCGGCTCCTCCGACTTCCCATTGCACTCGGAAACCGTCATACGACCTCTTCCGCCGCACAGCTCTCCAGCCGATGTGCTCGACCTCATCCGCCGGCGACGCACGCCTATCAACGAACTTGAAGGGTTCAGCGATTATGGGTCGATGCTGTGCCGTCAGGCTGTGAGCTATGCTGCCGCTGAAAGCGCAGAAAGGGCAGAGAGGAATATGACAGAGTTTGAGGAGAGGTTGGAGGATGATAGGCGGAGGCTATTGAGAAGCGCGGTGGTAGCGCAGAGGGCGAAGTGGATCGCGGAGCTAGTCGAGCTCGAGGATGAGGGTAGAGAGCTTAAAGAGTCGGACGAGGACACGTGGGCTGCCGTCGACGATGGATCGGAGGCGTCCGATGAAAGTGGCTATGATGCGCCAGAGTCATCCAGTGAGGGTGGAGACTCGCCATATTCGGAGGATCGGCGCACGAACGAGTTCGAGCACGACGCAGAGTATTTCGATGAGGGGCAGTGGGAGGAGTCCAATTCAGACGTCTTCGGTCCGGATGATTGCTCGTTTGATGAGCTTGACGGGCTAGTGGAAGCCTTCGCGAGGATGACGCTCGCAGAGAGCGACATACAACACGACGATTTCTTGCCTTGCGATGAGCCAGAACTGCCCCACGTTCTTCCATCGTTCTCCGCAGACGAGGGCGAAGATGAAGCAAACGACCGGGAGGAGCTCGAGTCGGACGTCTTCGGGCCAGCCGCGTCGCTTTCGGAGACACTGGACCAAGCTGAACAGGACTCAAACACGTATCTGGAGTCGGGACCCGAAGGGGACAGTATTTTGTTCTCGGAAGACGAGGACCTGTCACTGTCCCTGGAACTTGAAGAAGAGGAGGGTCTGTCTTCAGACGAAGAGTCGGACCCTTTCGTGGTAACGCCGTCAACTCCGTACAGCCGTCAGTGTTATCACCTCCTCTATGCCTGCCATTCTCTAATTAAGATGATCCTAATACAGGGCGTATGCGGTCAAACTCTTTCATGGCGCGGTTCTCACACCTGTAGCCCTCAAATCATGTACAACGCGTCTTGCTTTTGCCCACCATGTGGCCAAGCTTCTGCACCGCTTCGAATGTATGAGTTCTTGCTCGCTCTTCTTCATATGGCCATCTTCTAGTTATTCCCAGTCCGAGATAGTCTCGCTTCTCCCGCCCGATGCTCGATGCTGTGCCCCAATGCCGGTGGCTTCACGCCGGCGATCAAGTACCTTTTAGTCCTCGGCAAGTGTAACGCTCGCTAAGCCTGCAGGAACGCGTTTCGACAGGCGCGAAGATCTTCGAATGCGAACATCGTGGACCTTGGTTGATATGCATTGCCTGTCATAGATGTTGCTGTGTTACATAGGTACCGCAACTTGACCTATCGCGCTCACTTCAAACTTCTATCTTCTCCCATCGACTGTCCTCAGATCTGCCGTCATGGAGTCTTCCCCGCCTCGCCGTAGTCGTGCACGTACAAGCGCCATCGCCGTCCGGTCGGAAGGTACGCTCTTTGTGCTACCCCAACTTGCCTCTTGTCATGTTGCTCATCCGACCGCATAGGCTACCCGGACTCGCCGCCTACTCGCCATCCCCGCCCATCGCGTGTACCGGGTTCGAATCGCGAACGCTCTGTCCCGCCACCGCCCAAGTCAAGGGGTACACCGAAGACCCCGCCCGCTCGGGTTAGGCAATCGACCTATGCTGCCCCCTCCGTACGTCTTTCCCTCGAGCCTATCTGCGCGATCATTACCAATGCGAGACTTGATAGGCGAAGTTACAAGTCCTCGTTGACCCGCCTCCTACCAACGATACCCTCACCGCCGATCCACCCCAGTTACCCAAGACGCCGACGACGACGCCGAAGAAGGTCAAACGACGCGCAACGGCACAGGGATCGATCGGCGCTCGCAAGAGCTTACCTGCTCCCGACGCCTTGACATCTCCCAAGCTTAGCGGTATCGCCCGGCCCGTTAGCGACGCCTCGGCCGCGACCAAGTCCATCGCTCGCCCAGTCCGCACCGCGCGCGCGAGCTTGCCTCTCATCCAAGTGCATGGCCAAGCCGAATCCGGAAGAGAAGGCGTCGTCTCGCCACCACCCCGTCTTCCACCTGTGACGCGGTTGCCGCCAATACCCACATCGCCGCCTATCCCGCTCTCACCGCCTTTCGGAGCTTCGCTCGACTTCCTGAGGTTCAATTCGGGAAGAGAGTCTGTTACGGCGATTGCGTCGACGCTGCAGATACCGATCTCTCCTCCGCTGCCGGCGCCCATTAGCATCGATCTTCAAGATCCTGCGTCCGTAGTGGCCGAAGAGGCGGAGGAGCCGGCGGGGGAAGGCCCGACGATGACGTCGGACGAAGTCTTGTCGAAGATAGACGCGCAGATCGCGTTTGGAAATGAGGCGATGGAGAAGATCAATGAGCGAATTGCGCGGATATATGAGATGAAGGTTGACTGGAGGAGGCAGGTTCGGATGAGCAGGACTCTGTGATGAGCAGATGGCATTCGATGTACTCTACTGTACGATAGTATACGAGCTCCCGGAATGACAATCGTGTACTGTAGCGCTCGATATGATACTGTAAGCCAACGTAAAAATTCATGTTAGCGAATAATTTCAAATGACCACCGCAGGGGTCGAACCTGCAATCTCCTGATTACTCTTCGTAGTCAGACGCGATGCCATTTCGCCAGGCGGCCATATTGACAGCTTTACATAATAATACACAATTTGATATTCCGGGCATAAGACTTAAGTAGACGGCGACGCGTTGAATTCAGCAACCACCCAGGGGTGCGAGAATTCACGTGCTGTCAATGCAAAGTTCTTGATGATATCTGCGCAGCATGATTGTCGATGAAAACACTCACTTTCCAAGGAAACTCTCGAGCATCCCTGTGATTCTCCGAGTCTGGGTATCGTGTCAGTATCTACACCGTCAGGTTGACGCAGGTAAACACGGCATGGCTCCCCAGTATGCTCACGTTTGTTGTGTCTGGGGCTACCCACACGCTGACGCATATGAAGGGACCAGATGTCGATCCCTGTGTCCCAGATTGTGCGCCGGTGCAAATTGAACGGGACCCTCACCTTGCCCTCGCCCGTCAAATGAAGGTCTCCACGGTTTAAGTATATGGAATCAATACTGAAGCAACTTGACGTTCACGTCACGTCGCCATCACTAGCGATCATTGCTCTTATACGGGTTTAAGCAAGCCTAGCCTCCCGGTCAACCTGAATCTCAATCTCTACTGTCCGGATATGTTCCGCATTCCCCAGGCAGTTCGTTCGGGATGCCCGAACGTCCGCAGCTCTAAATGCTCCTAGCTCGATGGTGCGCGAATCTTGAGATGGCGAATCGCTGCTGCAACAATACAAGCCTGGAGTTATGAAGACGTCTAGGGTGCGATAGCTTCGCGGCTCACCAGGAGGCGGAAGAGTAGCAGGTGAGCATGCGATACATGCTGGTTGCTGCTAGCGCTCTAAGCAATCTCAGCTTTGCCTCTTCGTAAAGACACCATACACGACTCACAAGATAATCACTGGAAAAGGAGTTTCGTGAGCTGCACAGTCGCTTTCGACGTCCATCGAGACGCACCTTCAGGGGTTTGTAAGAGCTGAGTGCCACACCTGAGCACGAGCGTATCTGATCGGACGGGATAGCATGAGACGTACCTGATGTAATGCCTCTGCGGGTACGGTTGATGGTCAGAAGCTTGCCATAGAGGGAGTGCCCGGTGATACGCACCATTCAGATTGAGGGTCAGGATGATCTGAGTACACGCTGTCAACTTGGTATACTCCCTTTGTTACGATAGGTACACGTACAACAGTAGGCAACTCTGCCGCCGCCGCGAGCGCGAGCCAAGCCAAACCCTGTTTCCACAGGAGATCCCACATCCCGAATCCCCGCCCTTCTCTCCTGACGTATAGGCCAACAAGTGTTACCAGTAGTTGGAAGGCATCGATGGCAAATACAGCGGAGAGCATAGGTAGGCTGGTCGGTATATTGTTTATCAGGACGCAAGTCTGCGTCTCAACGTCCCAGATCGCTTTTGCAATCGCAACACTGTGGATCAATATAGAGAGTTGTGCGAGAAGGCTTGTTACCGCTATCACCATCACTACTCGGTGACGGTTCCAGATCGCGACACTGAATGATACGCCTCGTGAGTCTACCAGGCGAATGGTAGTGCTAAGTTCGCTTACGCGCGAATGACGATGAGGAACGACGCCATGAGTATACCCATGTACGGCAAGAGCAGCTGGAATCTGATCCAAGCCTGTAGATGCCCGCCCATCGGTATTGCACATGCCAATCAGATGTGACTTGACGCACGATGCAGTTCAAGGACAATCGTGTGTTGAGCACGATCAGGAGATTGATGATGAATCCCAGCGTGAAGTATCGGCAGAGTACATATACCCACATCGTCCATCGTCTCCTGGTGGGCTTTCCAAAGAAGTACTGGAACTCGTAATCCAAGTTCGACACCCACTCCCATCTTATTACCGCACGCCTCAGAAAGTATGGTCACAGAAGTACTATGCGGGAGAGACTCACATGTACAGGCCACACGCGACGTGCTGTAAGTTCGCCAGAGCGGCTTCAAAGGAGATCAGGCAAATGTTGCGTCTGGATGACTGGATGACTAGTGCGCACCGTAATCGCCTGCATTCGAGAGTTCAGAATCCGACATCTGCGCTCAGTGCGGCTTCGCAGGCTGACGGTCGGAGAGTGCTTTGGAATCCGGAAAGCTCAAAGCCTCGGTCAAAGCGCAGGGGCTTATGGAGCTTTATCATCGCGACAAAAATGCAGACTACACTGCCGCACTCCACCGGCCCTCAATACCGTGGCATGTACGCTCATGTATGACTCGAAGGGTCCGCGCATGACCACTTGAGAATGAAGATATCATCAGCCGCACAACGTCTGGCCGCTGTGCCGTATCAATCACGTATGCGGATATCCTACATGGGTGATCTGAGGATGTATGACAGTTCCGAATCTTTGATGCACGCACGGCGCTCCCGGCCTGCCAAGATATGGTGCGGTGCAAACGGCGCCCCTACATGCCAGAGGGTGATCGCAAGATGATAAGGTCATTCAGGAGGGTACTAGTAAGTCTTTCAGCATCGACCTCGTCTGTCAAGCTGGCTTCAAGGATCATGCTGACTTACGGGGCCGGGGCATGTGCGAAAGCGGGTAAAGAAGTTGATATCGCGGGTCGAGTGCCGTGGAAATGACCCCGCTACGTCTGGTGTTCTAGATGTGCACTACGCTCGAGAACACATACGCACTGGCCGTGTACCTTGCTCCTATCACAGTAGGTGCACGCCCGTCCCGGCCTGATGCATCTCCACACAGGTACATGAAGGTTGTGTTCAAGCGCGGTTCTTGCCACCATGGCACGTGCAAGAGTTCGGGTTTTCGGACCGAGTCTCACGTCGTTGACGTCTGCTGTACATATATACCTCCTCGAGTCAAAATCTCTCTGATACGTCGCGGACTGTTGAATGAAAGGCATTGACCCGGGCCGAATACTTCTGCGCGTGTTACTGTGGATGACGTACATACGGTTCGGTTCCTTGATACACTATTATAAGACTCGGATCGGACTAGTGACCTTGTCTTCCTGCTTATGTACCCAATATTAGGCTCGTAAAGACTATCATGCACCACCACTACTAGCAATTTCGGGGCAGCTTCGGTCAAAACGCGCTTCATCTCCAACCCGTTCTTGTACTACGCACACTTCTATCTCCACTGGTCGCGATTGCATTGGTGAAGCTGGATCATTCACTGCCCACTTGCGAGAGGTGTTACGAGCCAGTGTCGAAAGCTTGATAGGTCTTTGCGAGGAAGGTAGGCTCATCCTGAAGAGGAAGGGGGGCATGAGTGTTCGGTGGGCGGTATGGAGCTGCTCAGCGCACCTGTCAGCGAAGGAGAAATCTGTGAGGGCACGATACATGTTCGTCGCTGCGATAGCCCTGGGTGGTACTTCAGCGACGAGGCTCTGGTGGCTATGAGACGGTCCTCACAAGATGATCACTGTTCATCGTCTTGTGAGTTCAGACCGAAGGTGAAAATCATCGCATTGCCCACCTTCTGGAGTTATAAAGAGCTTACCATAATGAGTCAACTTCATCTACTGCGTAACAAGACCACGGGGACACATACCTGATGCAGCGCATCTGCCAGTTCAGTGATCAGATGGCCGTCTTTAACCACATCGTCGCCTGCACGCACCATTCACATTGAGACTGAGGACTATCTGCAGAACGATCAGCTGCGGGACTACTGCATCACGGAAGAAGTATCTACGCACCACAGTCGGCAACTCGGCGGTCGTCGCCAAAGCAAGCCATATGAGACCTTGCTTCAACAAGAACCCCCCTAACCCGAACCGGCACGCTTCTCTTCTTCGCAATAACCCGACGAGCATGACCAGCAAAAGCGAAGCATCGATGGCGAATGTTGTAGCGAGTGCTGGTAAGCTTGCCCGTACGAGATTAACCTTAACGCAGCCTTGAGCTAAGGGAGAACCGGATTGCCAGGTATCCGTTGCGATAGTGACACTATATATGAGCAATGCAACTTGCGCGAGTAAGGCCGCAGCCGATAGGGCGATTACTATAGGGTGACGGTTCCAGATTGCGATCCTTTGAGAACTCATGAATCTCGCGAGGTTCGGTCGCGACTAGTATGGTGCTTACACACGGATGATGATGAGAGAAGATGCCATGAGTAGCCCTGCGTATGGGAGTAGTATCTCGAATTTGACCCAGACCTGTATCCAGTTCAAACATTGAGTCAATTGTCTCGCATATCGAGGATGGCTGAAAGCGCACCAGACAATTGAGCGATGCCGGGACATTGAGTACGACTAAAATGTTGACAATAGTGCCAAGGACGGTGTACCGACAGATCAGATATAGCCATAGTGTATGTTTCCACTTGCGTTTTCCGGTATAGAAGTCGAGTTCATAGCTGAAACTCCTCGCCCACTCCCATCTGACGTTCGATCAGTTCGGGCGCACTTGGTTAAGATCAGACACGAGGGCCTCACAGGTAGATGCCACACACAGCATGCGATAGGTTCTCTACTGCGACTAGTATGAAGTCAAGTCAGTCTAACTCCAAGAGATCGTGTCAGACGAATACATACCATACTCCGCTAGAGCACCGCCTACGTGGATCATCTGAGTCCCAATCAGAGTCTTGAAGGGAAGCCTGTTACGAGTATCTCGCCCGTTTTCGAAAGAGCTGACGGTTGGGGTCCAGAACTGGAGAGTGACTCTCGTAGCCTGTCATATTTTCAGCGTCTCGGTTCTTATGAGGACCGCAGTACCTCCTTCCCTGCGGTTGACGAGTGACAGATCACGGACGTATCGTTGGTTGCAGTACGTCCGAGTCGATGGTCAGGCACTTCGGTGAACATTCCATATGAGCGAGATGCATGCATATGCTGTTCAATCAGCAGTCCCATGCATAAATGCCCTACTTGGAGACAAGGCGCGGTCCGAAGGAATGCAACGTATTCATCCATGTTCCCCGCATACCTATCGCAATCTTCAGTCAAAGGCCGTACCAGATCAACTTCGGAACTTGCCCAAAGAGGATCGTCTCATAGGATGTAGCACGTCTCCTTGGGACGGGATTACCGGGACGAGCGCCGCCAAGGCGGGCAGATGAGCTGGCGATCATTCTGTAGTCAAGCCTGGGGCAACCTGAGGGTACGCGGGCTCTTTGACGGGGGGCATGAAGGGTACCATCCGAAAGTTCGGACCTGTATACGAGTCGCGTCGCAAGTACCCGTATACGTAGATCAACTGTGGGCTTGATCCACCTATACGTCTCTAATACAACGACAACAACTCTCGCCATCGTTTGATCGCCTCCTTATCGAATCTGAGAGAAGCAAACTAGACCACTTCTTGCTCCACGCGAACCTCGATCTCAACAGGTTGTTCCGTAGCGCCGCTAGGTGGACAGCTTGTGTAGAGATTGCGCGTGGGACAGCGTCTAAGCACTGCCAGCTTGACACTTTCGTCGCAATCAGGAGGGTTCGACCTATGAACCCACGCAGGCACATAGTCCGGTAAGAACACTGATGTACCATTCATTGATGGGATTAAGGCGTACCTGCTGGCAAGCAGAATATCTGTGAGGGAGCGGTACATCCTCGTGGCCGCAAGAACGCTGCAGGGGAACGACGTCGACTCAGCTATTGGACAACCAAATACGGCCGGCATGAGCGGCGCCGGTACGTACATCACAACAACTGAAACGCAGCATCAGGAACTTGTTCGGACACGTGGTTGGTGTAAGCGTACCTCCCACAGCCTGGAACGCCTGCATCTGGTGTTACCAATCAAAGCTGTCATCTTCGAGACACGGTGCTCACCTGATTGATTGAGCCTATAGACGGTAAGATCACATGAGTATGCTAAGCTTTGAGGTGCGGGATAGGACCTACTGCTGAAGTCGAGCGCGATAATGATCTGATGAAGTCGAGGGTTAGCCTCTGTCCGTTGTACGCGGCGGTATACGGAGACATACGACGGTTGGCACTTCTGCTGCCAGGGCAATTGCGAGCCATATAAGTCCTTGTTTCCACAAAAAGTTCCATATGGCGCATCGGCGGGCAGTCCTTCTTCGGAACAGTCCGAGAAGCATGAGTAGCAACAGCAACACGTCGAATGCCAGTGTTGCAGCGAGTACAGATAGACTCGTAGGCGCACTATCCGGCAAATAACAGCTTCGGATGTTTGAATTCCATGTTCCCCAGGAAATCACGATACTGTGGATCACAAGGGCTAGTGATGTCAGAACACCCATGAGCGCCACCGCCACGATAGCTGGTTGTCGATTCCAGATGGCGATGCTTGAGCGTATATAGTGAGTTACTTGAAGGTAAAGGAGAAGTAAGAGAGAACGCACGTGCGGACCGCGATGAGGAGAGAAGCCATCAGGACGCCCAGGTAAGGGAGCAGCAGCTCCATTCTTGCCCAAGTCTACAGACACCCTCAGTAATAGGCTCAAGTGCAAGCGATAGGATCAACATACCGTGCAGTCGAGCATGGGCGGGTTGTTCAGCTCGAGGAGCAGGTTGACAAGAGCACCCAACGCGCTGTAACGGCAGAGCAGGTAGGGTCCGAACGTCCATGTCCACGCCCGTCTCCTCGTGTAGAAGTGACATTCATAGTCAAGCGTTGTTACCCACTCGTAACTAAATGCAGCTTAGCACATTCGTCCCCTTCATCGTCGAAAGAGGTACTCACAGGTAAAGACCACAGATTACGTGTTGTAGGCGAAACACGCGAACTATGACCGGTCAATGAGGGCCCTGCTCAACACTCATTCCACGTACGCCATTCTGTCAGAACAGCTGGCGTAGATCCCTGGCTTGACATATTGGCCGGACGTTATGTGGACGCGTTCAAATATCTGGAGTGGGCGAGAACTTCGTAAGTCCCATACAGCGCCCGGCAAGTCTCTCCTCGACCTTTATTACGTAGTGTGGTCTCGATTGACTGTTCATATGCATCTTCAGGTTCCCGCAGATATCGCATATATGTCGGTCGTTCATCCATTCACGGAAGCTATGGGCTATCCTGAGCCCTATATCGAGGCGTACCCCGCACAAGAGGGCGAATCGCTTGATAGGACCACATCGAGAGGGATGTGCCCTCTTTGAGCACCCCTAGTGTGGTACCTCGGTTGCGCCGCGGATACTAGGAAGGAGACCACCGCTCGAGGAGAAGGCCGATCAATGATACGTTCTGCTGAATATGATCCGCATCATCGGGACGCTTCCTGTTGAAACGCTGCCCAGCTGGGAACGTTCAAGAGCGAGTCGATGTACGTCCGCGTTGGGCTGCGTCGAGGAAGAGCTCAAGGGTATGTCGTAGACGTAGCATTTCGGGTCCTGGCATTGGTCAAAACCAGGCTTCGTGCATGCCACTGCCGCTGATGATGGTAGGAAGCAAGACGCGAATGGAGTCTGTCCCGCAGTCCAGGTGCGGCGCGGCCAAGAACAGATTTTTACGCCCCAGATGCAATCTTGCCTCCCTTATTCTACGACGAGCGGCTTGATATGATTAGTATACTACCAACCACTTGACCCTTGTCATCACTGCACTGTGCGCAGGGATTTCAGAATAGATCAGCAGACCACTGGCGGGGACGACAGTACACGTGTATTCGATCGCTACAGCAGCTCTGCAGCAAAGACAGTCTTTATTTCTCGGTTTTCGTGGTGAACAAGCCCCGCTACGCCTTACAACTCCCGTCTCCCCTCCTTCTTCGAGCGTAGAGGACCGGGAAGGGCCTCGTCGTACTACCGATGGAACCTACGCCCCGACGAACCAAGCTCGCGCATTTGACCCGCAGTTCCCCCGTTCGCCGTGCGCGCTCAACACTCCTGTCGTGTACGGCGTCATATCCCTCCGATGACGGTTGGAGGCAAGACACGAATTGTGACGGCCGAGTTCCGACTGACCGACGGCGCGGGGGCGGCGTATCCGACGGGCTTCAATTATTTAAGTTTCCCTCACTCAGGATTCACTGCTTCTCGATCATAACTACGTGCTCAGTACGCAACCTACTCCTGGTACGAGCACGCCCGGCGCTTGCATACCTCTTCTGGTATTCGGGAGACTGAAGTACTGTTGCAGGATGGTCGAAGGAACGGCTAGTGGATCTGGTCCTTCTAAAGCCTGTAAGACGCAGTTCACCCTGCGGGCTGACCGGATTAGTCTCGTAGACTGCCCATATGATATTACGGTGATACAGTCCACCCAGACACATAGACGAATGAGAGTACATTCAGAACCCGCAGGAATAACACAGCACATGATGAAGCTATGAGTATTTCTCCCTTTTTACAAGAAGCGCCTGATCGACCCCGATCATTCGGTGCATCAGCGAAGGAGCGCGCTATACAGTGTCGTTACCTCCCGTATGTTGAGTAAGTCAACAGTACGCATCACCAGCTGGTCTATCCGTCCCGCTCTCCTCAAAGTGCGTGCATCTCTATCTCCACTGGCCGAGGTTGCCCAGAGAAAGACGGCTCGTTGGGCATCGGGACTCGACCACGAACAGCGCTCCGGTTGACTACCGGGGCCTGGCCAGATCCATGCGAAGCACGCAAGGGGGAGAGGCTCATCCTGTAAGGATTTGCATTCAGTCTTTCAGGGAGTGAGTTACGACGTCTTACTTGGGAACGTAGGAGAAGTCGGTCAGTGTGCGGTGCATATTCGTCGCCGCAATGGCTCTGCGAGCTCCGCGTGAGTATTCCAACTCAGCCTCGGAAGATGAGGGTGCTCACAGTATGATCACTATCACCATGAAATCAGGTCAGTATACAGAGACGATTCTCAACATGAGGCACCTTCTGGAGCTAGAAAAAGCTATCGGAGCGAGTCAGCTCCAGATCTCCACGGAAGGAGATTCTCGGCCACATACCTGATTGAAAACGTCTAGTTTCGTTGCACCAATGAGTATAGCAACCGATGAATGCCATACTGCACGCACAATTGAGGTTCAAGATGAGGATGACCTGCATCTCTGTCAGCATGCACACGACTTTGTTGGTCACTTGAACCAGGCTACTCACAACGCTCGGCAACTCAGCCGCTGTAGCAAGAGCGAGCCATATGAGTCCTTGCTTCAATAGAAAGCCTCCTAACCCGAAGTGACGCGCCTCCCCCCTTAGGAACAGCCCAATGAGCATGAGCAACAGGAGGAGAGCGTCGACGATGGATGTTCCCGCAAGTGCCGGGAGGTTCGCCTGCACAGTATTCATCTTCAAGCATCCTTGTAACAAGGCCGGGCCAGACTCCCAGTTGTCTTTGGCGACCACGACGCCATGTATGAGCAACGCAACTTGCGCCATCATGCCTGCAGCCGAGACCGCGACGATGATCGGGTGGCGATTCCAGATAGCGAGTCTAGCAAGGATGTCAGGTCGGATGTACAGATAGAAGTAGGTGTAGTTCTTACACGCGAATGACGATTAGAGATGACGCCATGAGCAAGCCCAGATAGGGAAGGAATATCTCGAGCTTGACCCAAACCTGCGTGTATGGTGGTCTCAACGTTCTCGGTGCCATTAGATGGCATAATTGGCTACGCACGTTGCAATCAAAGGGTGTTTCGACGTTAAGCACGACGAGCATGTTGAAGATAGCACCCAATACGGAGTATCGGCATATAAGGTATGCCCACATAGCGTGCTTCCATGGACGCTTCCCCGTATAGAAGTCCCATTCGTAGGTAAAGCTTCGGGTCCATTCCCATCTGCGATTTGTCAGTTTGGCTACCCTGTTGATGCACAGGCGGACGAAGCTCACATGTAGATGCCACAAACGACGCTCGTCAGGTTCTGGATAGCAACTAAGAAGCTCAGTTGGCTTGTCGTCAGGGGAGTTGCTGCGAAGGACGTACTGTAATCCTCGATAGAGACTGGTGTGCGGCCATCCATGAGTACTTGGTAGTAAACGTTGCGGCACGATGAGACCCTGTGAAGCCGTCAAATCGAGATACTTGGAGTACACTATTGGATCTTGAGAGGATATGTCTTCTGCTTCCTTTATAAACAGTCAGTGAACACTGCATCGCGTATTACAGATGTAGAACACTCAGCGTATCGCTGGCGGCGAGCATACCGACCATCGTCCATGATCGTGGATAATCGTACAAGCGAGACTGGCCCGCTAAGAAGAAGCCTCAAAAGTTAGCGATGTGTATAGATCACCGAATGTTAGCATCGCAATCGCAGTTGAGCGACAACTTGACCGCCCTGTCAACCGCGGTGGAGCAAAAGGTCCGATACATCCGTCCTGTCAACTTCCTCACCAAGGCAAGAAATGCCATCAAGATGTGGCTTCAATGGTTCTCATGCACGTTGCATTGACAAGCGTGTATGGGCACGCAGAGAGCGCATGGTTAACACGCGAGAGCAGCCCTAGGAAGGAGCGTGTATTGCTACACACGAAGTTCTGCATGTTTCTGTAACGTATCCGGAGGGGGCCAGACCGTGGCAAACCCTTCCACTCCCGGTCTGAGAGTATTTGCCGGTAGTTGAAACGTATTGAGCTTCTTGAGGGGTGCTCAGGCAGGGCATTCGTTTCGTTGATTGGATTCGCGGCTCGTGAAGGTGCGGTACGACCATCACCAGCCTCGCGGTGGCGACGACAAGCCGTTCCCCTACGGGTCCGCAAAAAGCATAAGCATCTCATTGTCGAATCAAGATCAGAGGACTCGTAGTGAATAAGTGCGAAGTGGTCGCGCAGTTCATGTGTAACGCTGATAGGATATCCATCCGGGACTCTGGTGCTGCCATGGATGACAGTTCGCTCGGGAAGCGAGTGTATCATAGATCGATAGGTACACTGAGAACGTAGCGAATGCCATGTCCGGCAGAGGCCAAAGTGGCTTCGCGCGTGGTACCACCGCTGATGATGGTAGGAAGCAAGACGCGAATGACCTCCCGCGCTCACGGACCAACCGCAGCAGCCTGGGCCAGAGCCTGCCCGCTCCCTCGCTTCCTGATCTTCCAAAACGTACTACCACAACCAGGAACCCTGCCTCCACACACCAAAGAAGCCCACAGATGATGATACACGTATATTCTATGCTACAGTCCAAGCAAGTACAGCAAGTACAATTTTTATTCCACATCTTCGCGGGGTCAATCAAGCCCCGCTGCGCCCAACAGCCCTCGTCGCGCCTCCCTCCTCCAGCGCCGGCAAAGGCTTCACCGCTGTGCCCGAAGGCGCGCTCAAGAACCCCGCCCGCACAAGCCACGCCAGGTACCTCCCCATCTCCTCTTCGCCCACGCTCCCTCTTTCCGGCTCGCCCTGCGCTCTCAACACCTCCCTCATGTACGTGTCGTCCAGCGCGGGTGCTTTGGTACTTGTGGGGAGGTCGTCCAGGACGAAGTGCAGTAAGGGGAAGAGCGCGTTATCCTGCGACTCCAAGACATGCTGCTCGAGCCTCCTCCTCCAAACAACATACTCGCACCGCTCCACACTCCACCCATGTCTCTCAAGCGCATCGAACATCCCATTGAACGTCGGCAGCGGGCTCGCATGCACATGCGCGACCCTCATCCGCGCCTCCTCGCCCGGCGCGACCGCCGCAACGCCCACACACCTTGCCACATGGTCCACCGGCACCATATTGATCGTGTTCACCATGTCCGGCACCAGGCCCAGCTGCACGCACCCCTTCACCAACCGCCACACGAAATCGTCCGTGTTCGTCACCGCGCTCGTCGAGTCGCCTACCACATACCCCGGCCGCACTATCGCGCCGCGCAACCCGCGCCTCCCGCACTCGAATAGAAGCTTCTCGGCGACCCATTTCGACTGGCCGTACCCGGTCTTGAGCGTGTGGCGTGCGCCCTCCAGATCGTCCGATTCGGGTACGCCGGCCTGAAGGGTATCGGCAAGACGGACGTAATGCTCCGTGTCGAGCGCGCTCGTGCTGGACACGAACGAGAGGAGCTTGGGCGTGCCCGTAGCCGCGAGCTCGACGGCCGTGAGCGTGCCGAGGACGTTCACGGCGCGCAGCTTCTCGTACGGGTACACCCAGTGCACGAGCGCGCCGTTGTGCAGCACCGCGCCGCACTCCCGCGCGACGCGGTCCCACGTCTGCGCGTCCAGCCCGAACTTCGGCTGGTCGAGGTCGCCGCGGACGACTTCGACGCGTCCTTGCGAGACCCAGCGCTCGTCCCATACCCCGCGGTCGCGCGCGCCCTGCCTCAGCCTCTCCAGCGCCTGCTCATCGCTCGACGCCCGAACCAAACAGATGACCTTCGCAACCTTCTCCGTACGGCTCAACAGATCCTTCAGAACAAACGCACCAAGGAACCCAGTAGCACCCGTAAGGAACACCGTGCTCGGGCCCTCACCGCTCGTCGCAGACGGATATCTCTCGCGCAGCTGTCCCACAAGCTTCTCATAATCGCCCGCATAATCCGCCGCCTTGCCCTCATTCGCCGAAGCCGACGCCTCCCCGCTATTCAGTCCCAAATCGGCGTTCCGCAGCGCATCAATCGCGCCCGCCAGCCCCTTAATACTCGGCTGATCGAACACCAACCCGAGCGGGGCGTCCACCACGAACGCCTTGCGCAGCTCGAACACCAGCCGCGTGGCGAGGATCGAGTGGCCGCCGAGGTCGAAGAAGGACTCGTCGAGCGGGATGGGCTGGGGCGCGTTGGGCAGGATGGAGGCCCAGATGGCTGCGACGCGGTCTTCTGTGGGCGTGAGGTTGAGCTTCGACTGGGTGGTGGTGGACGAGGTGGATAGGGATGCGGCTGCTGCTGTGTCGGGGAAGGGGAGGGCCGGTTTGTCGATCTTGCCGTTGGGGTTTAGGGGCATGCGTTTGAGCGGGACGAACACTACATCACACAAATGGGTCAATATATGCGCTTTTAAACTTGAATATGGAGGATAAAGAAAAAGACATACGCGTCGGCACACTATAGCTCGGCAGCTTCTTCTTCAAATACTCCCTCACATCCCTGATCAACCTCCTATACTTCCTAATCCCGCCCACAACGCCGCCCTCCTCCTCCCCGCCCAGATCGCTCGCATACGCCTCGAGCTCCCCGCCCTCGAGCGGCACGAAGTACGACACGAGTATCTTCTCCTCGTCCTTGTCCCTCCTTACGAGCGTCACGTTCTCCCGCACGAGCGGGTGCCGGCTCAGATGCGTGTCGATCTCGCCCAGCTCGATCCTGAAGCCGCGGATCTTGACCTGGTCGTCCGCGCGCCCCGTGCACTCGACGATCCCGTCGGGCATGTAGCGCCCGAGATCGCCGGACCTGTACATCCGGTCGCGCACGCCTTTCCAGTGCCGAGCCGGCGGACCTACGAGCGTGTCGGCGGGCAACGTCTCGTCGCTGGAGAACCAGTTCCTCACGAACTTCTCCGCCGTGGCGTCCTGGTCCAAGTACCCCTCCGCCAGCCCCCCGCTCCGGACATATATCTCGCCGACCTCGCCCACCGCACACGGCACGTTCCGATCATTGCGATTCACGACGAGTAGCTGCACATCGACCATCCCCTCTCCCGCCGGCATAATATCCTTCTGCGTCGCCAAAAACGTCGCATCCGCACTAACGGCCGGAATCTCGAAGTAGCTGACCGCGCGCTGCGTCTCGGTCGTGCCGTACATGTTTATGATGCGCACGTTCGGCGCGAGGGCCTGGAGGCGCGTGCAGTCGCGCTTTGTGAGGACGTCGCCGACGAAGAAGGCGTTGAGGAGGGAGGGGATGCGCGCGGTGGCTTGGGCTGAGAGGAGCTGGCCCATGGCGGGTGTTAGGTGGGTTACTGTTATTGAGGACGAGGCCATCCATTCGGCGAGGCGGCCGGGCGTGCCGATGTCGTCTGAGGTCGGGACGTGCAGCTCGGCGCCGAAGAATAGAGGCGTGAACACTGTATACCGCACATCATTAGCATCATCCCCATCGTATCAAGTATAGACGTAAGGAAAAACGTACTGTCGCGCTGAATAGGATCATGCGCGATCCCGCTCAACATCGTAAACTTGCTCTGCGGGCCCAGCTCGAACCGCTCGCCCATCCAGGGAAAGAAATGCGTAAGACTATAATGCCGCCCCCTTACACCCTTCGGAATACCCGTACTCCCGCTCGTAAAGCTCAACGTCCCGATACTGTCCGGGCCCAGCACCACATCCGGGTCCACATCCGCCTTATCCGCCAACGGCCCTAACACATCGTTCTCAGCGACGATCCCGCCGTCAGGCAGCAGCTCGAGCGCGGGGACTTCAACGGCGACTTGCAGCTCAGTGTTGATGAACTCGCGCACGGAGGGGCTGATGGTCCCCGCGCCTTTGAGCACGATGAGCCCGCGCGGCTGGGCGACGCGCAGGTATATCATCTGTCTGTTGGGCGGGTACGCGGGGTCGATGACGCTGAACGTCGCGCCCGCTTTCAGGACAGCCATAACAGCCACGACCAGATCCACGCTCCTATGCGCATACACCATCACGACATCTTCGCGCCGTATCCCGCCCTGCAGCAGGTAATGCGCCAGCACGTTCGACGCGCGCAGGATGGCGCCGTAGCTGTACACCCGCCGTTCCTGCGGCGCGTCCAGACTTGCCGCCGGCACGTTCTGGACGACGCACGGCCGCGCGGGATGCGCGCGGGCGTTGCGGGAGAAGATGTCGGGGATGGCGCCCTTCCAGCCGCACCAGTCCAGATCGGCCGTCGGGTCCGGCAGGCGCTTCCTCTGCTTCGGCGTCAAAAGCGGCACACTGCCCACCGGCAGCACCGGGCCGCCCGCGACCTTCCTCAAGAAAACCGAGAGCTGGTCGACGATGTGTTCGATGCGCGCGTGGGTGAACAATAAAGAGTTGTATATGATGCGGAGGGCGATGCGCGGGGCGAGCGAGGCGTGGGAGGACGCGGGCGGGCGCTGGACGAAGACGGTCAGGTCGGAGGTTGCCGAGGTGTTGCGGACGAACGTCTCCTGCTCGCCGATGTCCGTCTCGTCGAAGAAGCGCACGCGGAAGAGCGGGCGCGAGCCCTCGACCGTGTCTGCGTCCTTGTCCTTTCCTAAAGCGCGGAGGATGGACTCGTACGGCACGGCGTCGGTCTCGGCTTCGGACTCGACCTGCTGCACGCGCCGCACGATGGCCCAGAACGGGTCGTTCGGGTCCACAGATAATCGCAGGAGTAGAGGTTCGGGCGAGGAGGCGGACGAGGACGCGATCACGAGATCTGTGTCGCCCGTGTAGCGGTGGAGGAGGACGGAGAACGCCGAGAGCAGCAGGTGGAACGCGCTCGGCCGCTTCTGCGTGTTCCCGTCTTCGGCCTCTTCGTCTTCCTCGTCGGATTCGGAGTATAATGCGAGCTTGAGCAGGCCCAATGAAGTCTGTTCGGATAATTCCGCGCTGTAGGCCGCTTCGACCGTGCGCTGCGAGCCGGACGGGCGCGGGTAGTCCGTTGGCAGCGAGATCGACGGCAGCGATTGCAGGCGCCCGACGACACGGCTCAGTGCGTCGTTGGCCATTGCTTTTGGGTGGGATGTGCCTCTGTAGAGAGAGGCTTTTAGGGAGATGGTGGACGAACGAGTCAAGTCGACTTTGCGGAGACTCAACTTTGTGACATCTCGGACTAGTCGCCGATAAAGCCGACGTGTGGCCTCGGACATCGCCGTGCAGTTCGATTAGGGGCACTTCTTGTGAGCCATCGCTGTGCTTTCTTCCAAGCCGGCTATGGTGCATGCCTTACCAGATTGTGAGCCGCGTGAGCACTGTGACGAGGACTTCGGCGACGGTATCGAGCTCTACGCAAGTCTCCAAATATATAATTTACACAAAAATCCGGTACAATAATCCACATGTGTATCCCTCAAGCCCGTGTAGACACAGGCCCACTCAACAGCGGCTCATCCTCCTCATCCCTCTCCCCCTCATCCGCACTAAACAGCACCTCCCTCTCCCCCCTTCTCTCCACACACTCAAGCTCAGCAACCTCCGCCTCCAAATTCCTCTCCCTAACCAACACCTCCCGCGCGCCCTGCCCCGCATCCACAACCAGCACAAACTCGCCCTCCACATCCAAGTCCATCTCCACGTCGCCCAGCTCTGCGCTGTGCGAGCATCGGCATCGACGGCATGCGAAGCCTTCTGCGCGCGCGAGGCGGCAGAACTCGCGGTTGAGCTCGCGGAGGGATGCGCCGAATTGCGTGCGGTGGGATGTGAAGGTTTTGTACGCGTTCAGCGCTGATATCGCTGTTTCATCCCATCAGCCACTGATCAACACGTCAAAGTAAGAATGGAAGAGGCTTACTGAACGCAGCATGCGCCAACACGACAACCCACACGCCCAACGGCGCAAGCCTCACCCACAGCCCCCTCCTACACTCCTCACCCTCCCCGACGACCAACACGCCCCCCGCACACCCCCGCACCCAGTTATCGTCCAGCACGCTCCACGCCATAACGCCCACCGCGAAGCTGCTCACCACCGCTCTGAGCGGTGTCAGCACCGAGTACGCGATGAGGAAGGAGTGGTAGTTGTTTGAGAGCTTTATGAGGCGGAGGTAGAGCTGGAGCGGGAGTTGCACTGCGAAGAGCAGTGTGCCGGCGCTTTTGAGGAGGCAGAGCGTCGTGCTGTTCAGCATCCCGTACCCCTCGCCTTGAAGTCCCAGGAACATCGTAGCGCACGCGACGCCCAGGTTCAGCGCCACATCGCCGGCCAACAGCACCTTCACCCTCCGTGCCCCCTCCTCCTCCCCCTTTTCGTCCTCAGGCCTATACAGCGACACACCCAGCGCAAACTCGCGCTTGATGTACCACGCCGTCTGCGCCAAGAAATACGCGTACAGTCGTGCGTAGACCGCGGACGCGACGGCGAGCGCGAGGAACGATGTGGGCGCGGACCAGTTGAAGAGATCGGACGTTGAGATGGACGGGGGCGTGGTGGTGATTGACGGGCGCAGAGTTAGACGGTCGAGGAGGAAGTAGAACGCCAGTGCGGCTAGGAGTGCGACGGCCCGTGCGCGCGCGATACGATCGTGGATATAGACGCGCCAGAATCCGGCACGCATAGCGCCCAGGGTCCTACACCCACATCCCATAAGCAACCCATCCTCCTCCACACCAATATAAATAACACAAAAGAAGCACGCACGCGCAGAACGCAGCGACCCCACCAACAAGCGCAAACACGCACGCCAGTATCCTCAACAAACACAATCCCAGCCCCTCGCTCTCTCCCTGTCCTTCAATAGTTCCATCTGAATCCTCGGTATTACGGAGCGCGCCACAGAGCCCCAAGAGGATTGAGAATGGGATGTCGGCGCCTGCGAGGAGGGCGAGGGACCAGTTTGTTGATCGTGGACGCGAGGCCATCTCGTAGGGAGGTGGTGGTGGGATGGCGGCGGAGCAAGCGCTGGGAGAGGTGCTGTAGTCGTGGGATGGTATATTGGGCGCATCAAGTGCTGCGCAAGATATATACAGTATGTATAACTAGGAGTGAGTGAAAGAATACATCCCTGGTAGTATATCGGCTAGTACACCCGCTTGTCAAGCTGGCGCTGTACGCGGGAGAGCGGGGTTCGACTCCCCGCCAGGGAGTGAAACTGTAATCAGCAACTTTTATGCACTGTGTCTTCACTATAGACGTGTATAAGGACTCAATAATGTGTGCACTCTTAAAAGCTTATCAACTTTGCTATGATCTGTTTTTGACCTGTTCACCCGCTGTGCTTTCAAGGGCAGCATCCGGGTCTCTCGAACCGATTTTCCAACCACGTATATTGGACAGTCGATTTGCTTCCGACCGCCATCGTCGACTGGGAGTCCGCGTCCTGCGAGATCGACCTTGCTCGGGACCTTTTGCTCTAGCCTATTCGTGCTTCAAGCTTCAAGCCTGAAGGATCTACACAGGCAAGGGCGGAGGACCCGCTAAGTATGGGACGACGAGGGCGCTGGTATGCCAACCGTTAGACCCCGCGGCCGCACAGCCCACCACAAACGCTCGTGGCCGGCATATACTCGTCGCATCGGTTGGTCTACGTACTTGTGCGGCGCCACCGTACATCTTCATTGCTATCAAGATCTGGTACGGGCTCGCGTCTCCATATTTGCGCCTGCGGACATGTAGCGAACGTGTGAGCGCGAGCATATGTCGGCTGCTTCCGCACTCTTCTGCACTTCTACAGCGGCAGGCCGTTTCTGGTGCCATTTCAATCCAAATGAATCCTCTTGACTAGTAAATAGGATCACCCGGCCTATTGAGCTGTAGTGTCCAGCATCGTCGAATGCAAGCGATATTGACCAACTGTTCTCCGTGATACGCATCGCCGACAAGCTGCATCAAGAGTCGTCGTTCACGAGAGCGCCTATGGCGCTGCCGTGCGCAATCGCTGGATCAACGGGCTCAATGTCGAACCGCCAAACTCTCGCCTCCCACCGGTGTCGTGAATACTCGCGCGGCGTATCTGACGTTCGCCGGTTCTATACGAGACGTGGTGCATCCTGAGATGCCATCTGGGCCTGTGCGTGTTCTACCCCACTTCTGAGCGTCACGTAGCCGCCATTTCCTCTTTGAGCTCACTGCGACTCCAACCCTTCCCGCAGACCCCGTATCTGCATCTTTGATGAACTCCCAACATCGGGTGTATAAGGCTGGGGTACGTGATGGGTTCAGTTGCGCATCGCGATTCTCTTGCGCTACGTCTTCCCTGCGAGGCTTACGAAACACATAGCGGTTTACACCTGCTTTATGACCTGAACCTCCGTCGTTGCTCGACAATTCCCCACAGGCCACACGCACAATGAGTGCTGCTGCACTGAAAGATCGTGGGCGAGACCGCATACAATCCTTTTTCGCCCGTCTGATCGATGCGCGCCAGTCCCAGTTGCCAAGATGCAACACGTAGCTTACGGCTTGTTCATGTGAGTTTAGCCCTTTCTGTGCAAACTAAATCCCGTCTTGACTCATGGTGATGGCTTATAGATGGGAATGGGTGACGAGCCTTCGCTACGAACTCGATGTATACTGCGGGAGACGGGCCTGGAAGTGGACCTTTCTACCGTATCTTCTTTGCCGCTTCTCATATCTGGGTGCTATTGTCTGTCTGTTGCTTGGGCTGGACGCCCGCGATCCATTCAGCTGCGTGGTACGTTACGAATGCTTTAACAATGCCTCTGCGAAGTACAGAACTGACGCTCCGCGTGGCGCTCGCAGACATGGGCAAGATTCGTCCTGCTGATGTTGTATGGAACTATCTACATGGCTTCCGTACTCATTGCCTTACGCACGTAAGTCACCACCACTCATCCTACCGATGTCTCATAGCTCATCGTACATCATTCAGTGTGGCCATATGGAACCGCAACCGCCTCGTAGTCGCGTTCTCTCTCTCGGGCACCCTCGTCCTGCTCGCCCTCCTCATCTACGGCGTAGTCGAGGCCCAAGCATTCTGGGACAATCAATCCGACAGAACCTGCATTGTACCTAGCAGTGAAGTCTTCACCACTTTGCTACCTATGCTCACGTCGACTCTCGCGGTCGACATGTCTTTCTTACTGCTCATGCTGTGGGGCCTGCTGCGCCTACGAGATGCGCGCCGTTGGGGGATTGGGAGGTTCCTTTGGACACAGGGCATTGTGTGGTTGATGATCGCGGCTGCGGCGGAGGTTCCGACTGTCGTGAGTGTTTCACCGGAAGTTGGATGTGGTCCTTGATAAGTGAACACCTTCTTAGGTTGTCCTTGCTCTAAACCGCGATAGTGAGTATACGTGGATGTCCTCCGATGTTAATTTGGATCCTGACGACACACTTCGTCGTTGCAAGATACGATAAACGAGGTGCGCGTGTGTTCGTACCAGTCAACGAGTAGGACAGCTGACTGAATGTTGCCCCAACTTAGGCGCTTCGAAACGTTCTCGGTATGGAATATGGCTCTGGTTTGCCCATTAGGCATCGCTGACCTCTTCATACATACTAGCCGTTTCCCTGTAAGCACCCTTCATCCGCCACTACCTCAGAGTCTCATCCTCGCAGAGTGATCGCAGCCACAAGAATGTATCGCTCCCTAACAGACTTCCTACTCGTTGACAGGTGTGTCGTTCTGTTTGTCGTCACTACGGCGCGCTCATGAGTACGCGCGTGCAGGGTGAACATGTCGTCGCATGATGAGGACAGTAGCATCAAGCTTAGAGTGTTCAGACGGTTCAAGCCACGCCACACGCCCCTCCCGGAGAATAGACAGCGCACGCCTGTTGCGATCGAGATATGCGTAGAACAAGAGAGCGGGATGTAGGGATACGAGGACCTCTATTTCGCGTATTCCAGTGTGATCGCCGATCATGGGCCTGTGCGTACGCCGTACGCATGTCTCAGGACCCCAAGGTAAGTAATAAGGCGCGAGGAGATGCCGCGCGGGATGAACCAATCTCCAGAGGAAAGCGCGGGAGCGGTGCGAGAAGGGAGACCGCCTATGCGGCCTAGGGAAGATGCTTTCAACATCCGCTTGATATGGAATGTATATGAGTTGTTGGACCGTACGAGGGTATGCCGGCTGATGGCGGGAGGTAGCAAGGAGCAGTCCTGTGGGCGCGGGAGAGTAAATACACACAAATAACGCGCTTGCGCGCCGGCGGTGCGCCGATCGTGACGCCGCACCGCGACAAGAGAGCAAGAGGGCGGTGCCCAAGATGTTCTTGTCCTCTGGCAAATTCCCTCCCGGAGCAGCTTCTGTAAGGTCGCTTCCCGAATATTTGTTCCATGCGGTCTCTGCGCCATACCCATGTATCAAGCCCCCTTGTTTACCTGCAAATCACGCCATGTTGGAGAAGGAGATGCTCAAAGCGACAATGACCGCGCATGTGAGCGGCTATGAGTAGGGTCCAAGGCCAAAAAAGAGGGCGATGATGAGGAGGAAGTGAGGTCCATGAGAGGAGGAAGACGCTGGAAGACGCGAGCCGGAGATCACAACATATGGATTCCGTGCACAGATCGTGGCGTGACTTTCATATAGACGACCAGCGCACAAACGTGTTGCACATATGACGGCTTAAGAGATCCTTATAGAACGACGACATATGTCTTTGTCTCAGAGGAGCGACAGGCAGCGACAGTGCCGGCTTTACCGCCGTGAGAGTCATGCGGCCTCCGAGGGTGCCAATGTCCGTGAATCGTCGCGCGCAGGGCGAGCTTTTGGCTCTCGCCTTCGTGGTACTGCCTCGGCCCACAGACCACCCTCGGATGCCTCGGCTACTTCTGTGTGCTCGTGCATAGACCTCAAAACCAGTATGGTCGGTTGACCACATGTGATATGCCAAGGCACCACGCGCATGCTCTTCGAGGAAGCGACCATGCGGATGTGTGAAGTTGGCGAGTACTGTGCATCTGTTCGGTAGACTCGGTGTCAAGGTCAACAAGAAACTATTGCGACGAACGCACAACATGGGGATAACGCGGTCATGTTCGATTGATCGCTATCTTCAGCGCTCGAAACCGGTGAACAATCTGGATGTATAACGACGTTGACGAGAACTGCCAGCGGGTTGCCTCGACGCCCAGTCTTCCTGTGCGTGCGTGCATGCTACCACTCGATGGCGTCACGGCGGAGGCCAACTACCAGAGGAAACTAGGCCACCGTCCTTGTGGTCGTCGCGAGATATCAATCACTACACAATGTATCCCCCTGCCTGTACCTCGGAGATCCTCTCGGATTCGCCTCGGACTAGGTCGGACGAAGCATGCCAGTTACCGCAGTAGGCTGAGGCAACGCGCTTCGCGTTATCGTGACCAGCATTCATGCGACGGCTTTGTTGGGCTTCCATGCGATTCGCTCTCGACTGCACCAGCACAACCCTGATACCTGGTGGTTCACTGCCCTCCAGACTCGGACCGAACGCCGCCAAGCTGTTGACCGATCGAATGTGCGATGTGACCATGCAGTGACATTGCGTAAATGGCAAGCTGCAGTGTGCTACTGCCAGGAGCATCTGCGTTCGTCGGCCTGGGTACTCGAGAAGAGGGCGATGCGGTTGACTATAAAACGAGCGTTATCGCCAGCGCTAAAGCTCAACCACTCCCCAGAGTCTACGGGTACTGCCTCAACATGCTCACTTCCTGGCTTCAATACGCCGCTCTTGCGCTGGCCTCCGTACATGTGGCGTCAGCCACACAAGCTATGGGTCGGCCCGCCAACGTCAACAAGACTATATCCGACGTCGACACCGCTAGTAAATTCACCACGAAGCATGTCTCCAAGCGTGCATCTGCCGGAAAGGTCTCGATGTCCTACTACCCTAACTGGTATGTGTCAACGTCCCCTCGCAGTAGAGTGAACTCTTGCTGATATCTTCATGCAGGGCTATCTACAGCGCGCTTAACTTCCGTTCGTGCATCTCATGTGCGCATGTCATCTGCGGCTGATGCCTTCTATTAGCGCCTACCGAGATCGATGCGAGCAAATTGAGCCACATCATTTACTCGTTCGCGGACGCCCAAGCGGACAGTGGAACTGTCATTCTGACGGATTCATGGGCCGATGAGCAGGTTAGTGGACATCATCTTGTACCCTCTCGGTGATACTGATGAAGTTTACAGATACATTACGATGGAGACTCCTGGAGTGATACAGGCAACAACTTGTACGGATGCCTCAAGAGGATGTACCTGCTCAAGCTTGCGAACCGCAACCTCAAAGTTCTCTTGTCCGTTGGTGGCTGGTGAGTTGGCGGCGGCGTCATTCATTGCGCAACTTTGGATCTGTAGCGCTGACTTCATTGCGAAGGACGTACACCAACACCGATCACCACTTCGACTCCATTACCTCGGCGTCATGGCGCTCTACATTCGTTTCGAGCGCCGTTCAGCTCGTCAAGGACTACGGATTCGACGGCATGTGAGTAGTGAAACTTCTAGCGTTCTGCATTTCGCTGATTGTCAATCTAGTGACATGTGCGTGTTAGAGCTTAAGCAGGACTGTCGTGCGGTTGCTTATCTTATCTATGAACCAGTGACTACGAGTACCCTTCCACTGCCGCCCAAGGCCAAGGCTTCGCCGATCTTCTCACCGAGCTTCGCACGGCCTTCACCGCACTCCAGACCAGCAACGGTGACAGCGTTCCTTACCAGATTACCGTGGCCGTCGCAGCTGGTCTCAGCAACGCCGCCAACTACGTCGTTCCTCAAATGGACAAGGCCATTGACTACTGGAACCTAATGGTATGGTGTTGTCGGTTCGTTCTTGTGGGAACGCTTCTCACGGGAGCATAGGCCTACGATTACTCTGGATCCTTCTCTACCGTCACCGCCCCGCAAGCGAACGTCTACGGCGGCGAGCTCACAGGCTTCTCCACCGACAAGGCCTTGACATGGTACCTCGGCCAAGGCGCTACGGCCTCTAAGATTGTCCTCGGTATGCCCGCATACGGTCATGCCTTTGAGGGCACTACCGGCCTCGGCGCGACCTACACGACCACGGTCGCTGACGGCACTATCGACGTCGGTATCTATGCGTACAAGCAGCTTCCTCTTTCTGGCGCCACCGTATACGAGAACTCGACCGATATCTCCTCTTACTCGTACGACGCCAGCAAGAAGGAGCTCGTCTCTTACGACACGCCCAACATTGTCAAGAAGAAGGCACAGTACGTTTTGGACAACAGCCTTGCTGGCTCGATGTTCTGGGATGTAAGTGTCACCAGTTATCTACGTCTGAAATCGCGATGCTGACCAGTGCACGGCAGTTGGCTACGGACACCACGGGCGACAGCTCACTCATGTATGCGAGCGCAAGCGTCCTCGGCTCGCTCGACACGACCCAGAACCACATCAACTACCCGAGCTCCAAGTGGGACAACATCAAGAACAATATGGGCCAGTCGTCGTCGACCACGCCGACCTCTTCCGCTCCCGCCACGACCACAACGTCTGGCTCCGGCTCCGGCTCTGGTTCTTGCGCGAGCGTCGCGGCTTGGTCCTCGAGCACCATCTACACCGCCGGCATGACCGCTACATACAATGGCTCGCTGTACACCGCTAAGTGGTGGACGCAGGGTGACTTGCCTACAGGCACTTGTAAGCCATCCATTTGCCATTACCGTGCACGCCTTTCTCACGAGTTCTTCACAGCTGGCGCTTGGGCGTTGACCAGTGCATGCTGATCGTTTCTCCTTAACTTTATTTCTGTCTGGGGGTCTGCAACGCATTCGATACCATATAGGGATCTTGGAACCTTGTAAAACGCATTATAAATACAGAGCAAATCATATATGTACACATCAAACCGACAGATAGGAAAGCATACAAAGCATTGGTAGACAAATGAGAAGACACAGATCCTAAATCACTGATACATTCACCGACGCTTAGGCCTAGGCGGGATCTTGATAATCCCCGGCCGAGCCGAGCCTTCTGGCTGTACGTCCTTGAGCGGGCTCGACGGCCCAGAGCGAACCGGGGCCTCAACATCGACAGTCTCCTTCGCCTTCGCCTTTTCCGCCTTCGCCTTCGTCTTGCGCTTAACCTTCGGACCAGCCTTCGCAACCCCCCTCAGAGAGTGGTTGCTACCAGAAGCAACCGGAACGGGTTCGGCGACGTTCTCCTGACTATTCTGAGCGGCCAACTTCGCCTGCGACCTAGTAGTCACAGTGCAAGCCCGTTTCGGCTCAGGGGCACTCTCGTCCTCCAGTTCCTTGCGCTTCAGCGAGGAATTGGGTAGCCTCCGTGGCTTTTTGTTGCGGGCGGCGATGGACGCGTCGACGAGTGTAGCAGAAGTCTCGTCCCCAGGCGCGGCGTCGCGAGAGCTCTGCGGCTCCTGTACACGAGGGGTTTCTTCGATGCGGGCGCCGGCGGCGATATGAACACGGACGGTTGCGTGAAGTTCGACGAGGGCACGCGCGGTGTCGAGTTCCTTGTCCGAACAAATCCGCCCTTCGGAGGGAGCAGACACAGCGGCAAGGGCGTTGTTCGCATTTAGCAAGTGTGGCTGGGTGGCCTCCGGCTGGATGGGCGGTGCGACCACAGCGAGTGCGACGGCTGTCTCCTGGACAGTCGTCGGCGCGGGCGGTGGTGCGGCAGCCTCGCCCAAGGCTTGCGAGACAGGCCCTTCGACCTCAGCTACAGCGATTGGCGCAGACTCTTCGTCCTCTTGCTCAGCAAGAGGAAGACGACGCGGCCCGAAGCGCATGTAGGAGGGAAGGGCGTTGAAGTCCTCGTCGGAGAGATTGCGGTGACTGTGTGGCATGTCAGCTAATGTCAGCGTCCAGTAATAGAAGTATCTACGCACCGAAGATAGCGTGCTCCGACGATATCGGTGGACATTTTTGTAGAGTGTGGGTGTGGTGGGATGGGGTAGTAGAATAGCAAGAGCGGAAAAGTGACGACGGGAGCGGACGGGTCGTGGTCGTTCAGCTGAGGAAAACAGAGTTTTTTATTCAAGCTACTTGTAGTCCTGGAGCTGTGGTTTGCTTCAGTATCCCACGAGCGCGGATAATAGCGAACCAAACGCGGCGCGAGCCGATCGCGGGTAGGCCACGCGGGGAGGACAATGGCGGACCACGTCGCTTGCAATAGTCGGAGTGGCAGCTTCCGCATGCTGTGATAACCGCTAACCACCAACCACCACATAGTGGCTTCGAGAACGAGTAGAGGGCGAGAACGAAGAAACTCGGCGCACAGCTGCGCGGGCGTCGTTGCGACCTCAGCGCACGCTTCGAGTTAGGCGGATAAGGGCAGAGGATGGGTAGTGCAGCCATCCACACATGATCCTCTTCCTTCCTCTACGACTGTGAGATGCCAGGCGTTCTGGCGCCCAGTACAAAAAATAGGCATAGCTCAGGCGCTCCGGCGCGACTTCTCGTCGCCAGGAGCTGAGTCTCGCGCCCTCGGCACCTTCGGGCCGGTGCCACACGTTGTCGTCATTCGATCAAAGCAACAAACCGCACCCAAACCGAACTCCAACCACCGAAGTTCGCCTCCGCACCCAGAACTCTTGCTTCAGGCGCACCAGAAAGAAAACGCAAACCCCGTACATGTATGATCATTGGGTTACTACCGCAGGTATATCTAAGCTACTAATGAGTATGCACATCCGAAATCCTCTACAAACAAAGCACTGGCACACCATATCGCACACCATCTCATCCAGCACCCAGCACTCAGAGTACTATGCCGCCGCACTCTCGTCCTTCTCCCCTTCTCGTGCCGCATGCGGCGTAGCCTCCTCCGGCGTCCTCGTCCCCGCCGCCGGACTCGGCACAACCGAAACGCCCGCCAACCTCTTCGCGCTCTCGCTAACCCTAATCTCGCCCGTCTGCGCCCTCCCAATCGCGCCCCCGCCCGGCGTCGAGCTCGGCATCCAGTCCACATCCGCGCTCTTCACGACCGGCGTCCCCGTGCCGGGCGTCATTGGCCGCGACACGGCGGGCGTGCCGACTTGCGAGCGGTTGTGCGCCATGTGCGCGCGGATGAGGTGGCCGGCGGCGAGCGCGGCCATGAGGGAGAGCTCGCCGGCCATGACGGCGCCTGCGATTAGGCGCGCGAGGCCCTGCGCGTTTGCGCCGGGGTGCGTGGGGTGTGCGCCTTTGAGGCCGAGCATTTCGAGGACGGCGCCTTGGGGCGCGAGGATGGTGCCGCCGCCGACGGTGCCGACTTCGATACAGGGCATCGTGATCGTTACGAGGAGATCTGCGCCGTCGTTTGTCCTACATGTCGTATATCAATATTTGAAAATGATGAAGGGGAGAAGAACGCACGGTTCCATGAGCGTCATACACTGACTGCTCTCCACATTCTGCGCCGGGTCCTGGCCCGTAGCCAAAAAGATCGCCGTAAGAATATTCGCCGCATGCGCATTGAACCCGCCAATGCTCCCCGCCATCGCGCTCCCCACCAAATTCTT